GGGCCTGGTTTGTGATCACATCACACCGTGACATGCACAAGAAGCAGCTCAGGCCTTGTCACTGCTGCCTGCAGTGCTAGTTAGGTTTGTTGGTGAGTAAGGCTAGATGCTGTTTGGGTGTCCAGTAACATACTACATTAATATTTCATCATCCCTTGTGGTACTGCCAAGATCTACCTCTGCTAAAAAATACAACAGGAATACAGTGACACGCTGGGCATCAAGATAGTATAACAGCCCGAACGCGGCCTCTACTGGAATTATGTAACACTGTCCGCGCCTCACAGCTTTCTACACTTCATCTTCACCTTCAAATACTCCCTCTCTGTAACATTCTTCTGCACATGTGGTTCCCATTACAGCAAACTGACGACAGGAGACGGGGTGAAAATCTTGGCCTCAGAAGAGCTTCCTTGACAAAAGGCGTTGTGCTTTAATGGCGCTGATTTTGTAAAAGCAGTTTAGTCTCTGATTCCAAACCACTGTTCCATAAGAGATCATTACGTGTGCCGTGGAAAATGATCAAATTTGAATTAATTGGTCTGAAAACAATTATTTATTTATTGCAAATAATTTATCTTTGTTTGTCAATGCGTTACAGGCAGAACAATTAAATACTCTTCACTAGGTGGCAGCAGATGACTATGAAGACCAAAAAAAGACATAATCAGAGCTGTTGAAGATCTTTATGAGTATCTTTCTTCAATAATCCCAAGTTCCTTATCATACTCTGCCACAGTAGGGATGTAAATAAAACTGTGCCCCATTATAAGCTTGGGTTATGAAGTGTAGTAGCTGCTAATAAAGAGAGAAGCTAAAGGACAGAATGAAAGAAAACATAGACCATAATATTGATTGAATTCACTCAGGATTCTCTTACTGATGTGACTCTGTAGAATTGGCAGGATTCATGTGTTTGTTCATTGATTTTCTTTGTCTGTTATTTATATTGCTGTGCTTCATGTTACTGCTAGCAGCGCCGATGTGTAATTGAATGCATTAAAAGGCAACGCCGAGGCCAACCCTATGACTTTTTTCTTAATATCTTTTTTATCAGTTTGATGAGTCATTATCTCATCTTTGAGTCTCTCCAGCTCGACCGAACTGAGTCACAGGATGAGTCTCAGTGGTCAAGTCGATAAAAATATAATTCAGTGAATCCTGAAGCAGCATCATGGGGACAAACACTGCTATAGGTCTGAGTCGTGTTCACAGTTCACAGTGTTCACAGGGAATTAAGAAAAAAGAAAAGTCTGGACTGATGTCAGCGGTTTATGGTGCTAAAAGTGAGAGAAAGCTAATGCCCATCTGTTGTCTATTACTGTGATAGATTATCATGTTGCAGTTACAGTGTTCTAACTGTGCCAATCTAATTATCCACGGATGATATCAGTGTACAGTTGGACAGAAGCGTGTGGAGAAATCCAATATCATGATCTTATGATGGGAGCGGATGAAAGTGTTGGTTCAACTTCATCAGAAACACTGTTTCTGACAAGTAACTGTTGGGGAAAATCAAAAAAGGTCCCATATAACTACAGTAATAGAATGAGTATAAAATAAGTGAATAAAAAAACAAACAAATGGAGCTGGATCATAACCTGTTGCTGAACTTCTTTCCTACAGATTTTTGTATGGTTAAAAGATGACTTCTGCTCTGGTTTGAGGGATGAAAAACACTAATCTAATCTAATCTAATAAACCACAGACTAAGATATAAAGATTAAACTCTCAGAGACGTTGTGGTTACGTGTCTTTACGTGTTTTGTTATTAAAATCAGACACCACTGTCTTGGAACCTCATACACACTTATTTTGTTTCCTCATTTTCCCAGCTACGACATGGTGCATTATGGGCACTCCAATCAGCTGCGTCAGGCCAAGGCCATGGGTGATTACCTCATCGTTGGAGTACACACAGATAGTAAGGCTTACACCCAGTGATTTCCACATCCTCATTTTATTCATCACTACAGTTTCAGTGGAACTGACTCTCAGTTACTGTCCTGCTGTAAGTGTTTTTTTTCCTGTAACCGTTCAGCGTTTACCGTTTATCTGAGGAGTTGTGGGGCCTCCTCCTCTGCAGGATTTCTTTTTTTGTATTTTTTTCTCCAGTCCATCCATGACTTGTCAGGAGTCATCTGTGCTCTGTAGATGTAGGGTTGTTGTGAAGACGATGCAGTAAGTTGTAGTGTCTCACTCTCCGGGGACATCCTGACATTGTGATAACCAGGATGACTTCTGTGTCAGGGTCAGTGCAGACATCAGCTATCTGTCACACTGAGATTGTCCCCGCAGCAGAGACAAGATCTGTGCAATAAAAAAAGGACCCGTCCAGGACTTTGACTTTTGTGTGTGTGTGTTCATGTTATTTGCTTGGTTGTTTTCAAGGTGAGATCGCGAAGCACAAAGGTCCGCCAGTCTTCACTCAGGAAGAGAGGTACAAGATGGTGCGTGCCATAAAATGGGTGGACGAGGTCGTGGAAGGCGCGCCGTACGTCACCACCCTGGAGACTCTGGACAAATACGACTGTGACTTCTGTGTGCACGGAGGTAGAGAACGACACCTTCACGGTGCTGGGCGTGGGTGATATTAATGATTCTGAATTATTAAAGTATTTTCATTGTGCCGTTGTTTCAGATGACATCACACTAACAGTGGACGGAAAGGACACATATGAAGAGGTGAAGAAGTCAGGGCGGTACAGGTGAGCCTAACCACACATGATATAATTAAAGGGACATTGGCCACGCTGCCAAACAACAACATGAATCATAATCATAATAATATTAATAATCATACTGTGGTGATGTTTTAATAAAAATGTGCAATGTCAACAGTGACATATTGTAAATGTTCAGGCAAAGAATGCTTATTGAGTTTGTATGTTCGAATTGAGCTATGAAAATAAATGTAACACAACATAAGTAGCTTAGACGTAAGCAGCATCCATACATCAAGAAGTTTGTAAGTTTGAAATCTTGCCATTAGGGATGTAAGAAAATATCAATACACTGAATTATCGCAATACTTAATTTGACAATACCGTATTGATATTCTACAGTGCTGTATTAATTTATCTATTAACAATTAACATGTTGGTGTGTGTGTGTTTGACACAGAGAGTGTAAGAGAACACAGGGAGTTTCAACTACAGATGTGGTTGGTAGGATGCTGCTGATGACCAAAGCACACCACAGTAATATTGTGAGTACAGCTCGATTTCCTACTTCTTCATCCTCATCAGCATTTTCTTTTCCATCAACATTTTGTCCTTCATCGTTGTTTCATCTTTGCTTTTTTTTTCATTATTTTTCTTCTTTCTTTTAACTAATGTATTGTTGTTTTTCTGTTTTTAATGATGGTGTTTTTATTGTTATAATTATTTCTTACCAATTCCACGGTTTAACAATAGTTTTATCCCCTGTTCTCTGTAGGATAGTTCTGACTACCAGCAGCACACGGACAATTTTGGAAAGGTGGGCACCAAACATGGATCAAAAACTTTAGTTTTATGTTTCTGTATGCAAATCTTGAACCTTCTTCTTAAATCTGTTATTTTTAAAACAATTTAAATTATGTTTGTGAGCCAGACACAAAACATTGCTGAGAAAAACAAAACAAAACACAGCATTAACTGTGAACCCACTTCACAGTCGAGTAGCAGACGGTGTGAATCACCTCTGTTTTCAAAAGTCAGAACCAAGAAGCTGTGTTTTTTGAATAGGGAGAGACTCAGTGGAGCGACTCTCCACATTCAAGCTTGTGAGACTGAAAGAGTTATAGTGGGAATCTGGCGAGGGAAAACTAAAACCAAAAATCACTTTGGAAATTCTTTGGAAGCGTCTTTTTTTTGTAGAACACTAGAGGGCAGTGTCTGAACACAAGTACTGTGGGTGAACTGCCGAGCAGACCAAAGCGTTGTTGTGCTGTTGATTTATACTGGCTCATTATCGCTGTTTTTTATGTTTGGGTCACATGGTCAGAAGGGCTACAGTCCCTGGACGGGGGTGTCCCAGTTCCTGCAGACGTCACAGAAGATCATCCAGTTTGCTTCAGGCCAGGAGCCACAACCTGGAGACACCATCATCTATGTGGCCGGAGCGTTTGACCTCTTCCGTATCCTGCATTAATGAAATATAAATTCTGTCACTACATTCAAACACTTCACTGACTTTAAAAAGTCTGCAACAAGTTGACTGACAAAACTGTTGCATTTTTAGTTTCGTAAGCAACTCTTCATGCGTTCTTCAAGCCATTTTTTGCAAGGTACAAAGTTATGGCTAAAACTGAACAAGTTAAATTTTGAGTAATAGTTTGGGATATTTTTTTGTCCATAATAATTTCCATAATTTAAATTAAACAAAAATGAACACATGTGAAACATAAATCTAACCATTGTTATTTGTTCAGCAACCTTGACTGAACTCCTGTGTAGATATTGGACATGTAGACTTCCTGGAAGCAGTGCACAAGCTGGCAGAAAAGCCATACATTATAGTAGGGCTGCACTTTGACCAGGTGATTGTTTTTGGTCTCATTACAAAGTCTCTTCTTTTTTTTTATTAGCACCTGTTTTTTCACTTTTTTTACTGCTGGGATTTGCTTCCTAATTCTGATTTGTCTTTTGGGCTTTTCGTGTATTTATTGGTAAATATTTTAGATAATTTGTACTGATGGTTCTAGTTACAAAGTTCCAAGAAAAACAAAAAGTTTGAGTTTTTGCTTGAATTTATGACATTTCTAACCCCCTGTCTTGAATCACTTGATGCCCTGTATACTCTGTAGTACGTAATGCCTCTTGTACTGCAGCATTACTTTGGTAAAATGCCTCTACTGTACTGTGTTGTTATTTACAGGAGGTGAACAGATACAAAGGAAAGAACTATCCCATCATGAACGTCCATGAGAGGACCCTGAGTGTGCTGGCCTGTCGAGTGTGTTCTCCGTTCCCACAGAACCTCACACACACTTTATACACCTCTGATTTATTTTTATGTTTTTTCAGTGTTGTATTAATGAATGTACTTGTATTTTCCCTCACAGTATGTGTCGGAGGTGGTGATTGGTGCACCGTTTGCAGTCACAAAGGATTTGCTGGATCATTTCAAGGTATAGTAAAACATTTAAAAGAATTCAAAAACATGAATATCACCAGAGTCTTAATGTTGCCACCTGTCTGCACAGGTGGACCTCGTTTGCCATGGGAAGACGGAAATATACCCTGACAAGGATGGCTCTGACCCATACGCTGTAAGAAGAAGTGTTTCATTTTACCACTGTAAAGTTGATCAACACGTACATCTATTTTTTTTACTATTTTTTATTATTATCCAGGAGCCCAGGAGAAAAGGAATCCTGCACACTGTCGACAGTGGGAACAGCCTCACTACAGACGCCATTGTGCAGAGGATAATAAAAAACAGGTGACATAAGGCAGTGGGCTGGGGTCTACTGCCACTTAAAAGTTTAGCTTAAAAGACCCTGAAGCAACTATATCTTAGATTACATTAGGTTAGATTACATTAGATTAGACTGAACATCATAGATCCAACACTGTCTTCAATAGTACATGTGGCAGTAAAAGGCCAAACATTTACAGTAAATGTTCTTCTTAATGTGTGTCTTTCTTCAATTCCTGTGAACATTTTCAACTGAACAGGCCCTGGTTTCACACTGAGTTTGTAAATTGAAACATTTTCTGACATTTTCTTCGGTTGTGCACCTTGGGATTCCCTTATGTAAAATACTTGGTTCAGTTTACAACCTTCAGGTACTGAATACCTATCCATGATGATGAAAATACATTTTGTCTTAGACCCGGTTTATAGACTGAACACTTGATCTTAGCTATCAACTTCTAGCATTAGCTCATGCTACATATTTTTTACATGTGATGCTTATTGTACATTTCAGGTTGTTGTTTGAGGCTAGGAACCAGAAGAAAGAGGCCAAAGAAATTGCCGTGATCCAGGCCATGAAGAGACGAGAGGAGGAAAAGACTAAAGAAAGAGCTCAGGCTGTGTTATAGGAACGACGTGAAAAAAACACCAACAAACGTGTGTCATTATAACACTGTTGAGCTCAACTCAATCTAAATTTATCTACAGCTAAATCGGTACCTTTTCTAAATATAATGACACTCTCCATACACATGATCTTGGCTTTCAACAGCGCTCTTTGGCTGTGAGATCATCGGGTTTACTGCCTGTGTGCACGTGTGTGTGTGTGTGTGTGTTGACAAATTCTCTATATTATGCAAATACATGTCCAGATATGACACATACACAGATAAGTAACTACTGAGATTTTAACCAAGAGATTGAAAGAGGTTAGAACTAAAAGGTTATCGCTGTCTGTGTTGTATTTTTTTATTTCTCCTGTCATTTTTTTAAAGACAATTTAAATGAAATATTATAAAATTTGGGCATATTTGGAGCAAATGCAGGATGTTGTTGAAGAGATGCAGCTCAGGCATTGATGCACCAAGAGAGATGTATATGTGGTGTTGGAATGGGTGTAGCCCCACTATTAATTTATCTGTGTATATACTTATGTATACATTCTGAATGTACGTGTGTATGTTGTTAAAAAAACAACAGCATTAAGGCTGTAAAGACTTGACTTTTGGGAGTGAATGATTTTTTTCCTGATTCTACTCCGGACCTCTTCTCTGAAATAGTCCACCACAGTAGGTTTTTACCCATGATATGAAACGCACACTGTATTGAAATGACCTCCACGCCTGTCACTGGGAGTGCAATGTTTTTAAGAATCATTACTGCTTTAATGAAGGATTAACATTTTTTTTAAACCTTTAGTTTCCAGAGTGTAATGAGAGATGCTCAGTATTAACCTCTGACCTCTTCCTGTCGTTTTATTGAGCCTGGATCAACTCATGTCATGTCTCTACTACAGATGGTATTTAATATATATTTTTTGCAGATGTATATTTTACTCACCCTCCTTTCCATTAACGACTGTATAGATTCAGATTATTTGAAAATAAATTAAATATTGTATCAGTATGTTAAATTGGAATGCATTCGTGTAGGCTGTAATCCTTATGTTGATGAACAATACTGTAGAAAGAGATGACTGCAGTATATTCATGTGGACATTAATAACAACTTGGTTCTAAAAAAGATGTTTTTTTTATTATTACTCTAAAAACAGTCATGTCTGATTGATGTGTGCAATAATTAGTCATGGAATGTAAACGGCTGTGCTCTGTCTTAAAGGTAAGTTCATATTTTGGAGCCAGACATGACCTTTTGTCGGAAAAGCTGACCTTATATAACACCATCTGACTCAGAGACAGCTGGTTAAATGTCAGCTTAATAAGATTTTATTTATTTAGTGACAGGGCGTGGCCTTTGTGCCACAAGAGTCTGAAAATCTCTTTTATATAAAAATATATTTTACTTTGTTCTTTGTCTTAATAAATATATATTATTTATAATCAACAAAGAAAATCTTTTTTAGACTTAAAATGATGTCGTCATTAACTAGTCATATGCTAGAAATATTTGACGTCGTATTTGTAACTTTTTTTAAAAACTGACCTAAGAGCGGCGCTGACGTACACACGTGTCTCTCATTCACTTAATTGTCCTCTCATTTTAGGGACAACAGCGTTGTTTCCTGGAGTCAGTTTGTTTGTGCTGAGAAATAAAACGAACAACGACGTGTAGAGCAGAGAGAAACGATGCTGTGTTGTCTCAAACTTCTCCCAGCTCCGCTACAGGTACGAATTAAGTCGAATAACAATGGATAGAAGCTCATCGACACCGTTTATTGTATTGATGTGTGGAGTCCACCTCAGCACTGACGCTAACGGCTGCTTAAGTTGGTCAGTTAATTGACTTGTGTCCAAAATGTGGTCCGGGGGCCAATGTGGAATAATTAAAAAGTTCAATAATATTTATATATTTTTAATTATGATTCATGGTTTATGGGTATGTGTTGACCCACATTTGAAATTTTTTTTAGGCAAATATTGTTTTAACTGTCCTTCAGCCACGTTTGAGCAATTTCCTAGTCTACTACTTCTAATTTTGTTTAATGTTTGCAATATAAGTTTTTTCTGGGGGGGTTAATTGAGTCATTAAAGACCTGTGATTAAGTGTCTTTAAAATATTACTTTTTTTTTGTCCAACAACAGTTGATTCATTGCTTAATACAGCAATACTTCTCCTTGTTTTTGCAATATTTTAATCATTTTGGGTAATTGTTGTATGTATGTATGAAATCTGATGTGACACTGCTCGATCCAAGCACATCATTAACATAACACACAGTTCTGTAAGAATAACTGTTAGGTCTTTATTGGTGACGTCTCTGTGAGCCCTGGCTGCTTAAGAACATTTTTAAAACCATCTTATAGATCTGCATGAGGATGTGCCTCCACCAGGATATCACAGAAGAAGACAAAAAGGCCAAACTTCACAGCACCAAAATAGAACAGGACCTCAGTGAACACGCCAGGACTGAGATGAATGTGGTCAAAATCCTTATGCTTGGTGAGTTATAATGACAAAAACCTATACTGTATGTATGAGACTTGTCTTTTTCCACTGAAAGTCTCTCTCTGCTTAATAATTCAGGAGCTGCAGAGAGTGGGAAGAGTACACTGATCAAACAGATCAAGATCATCCACAGTCATGGCTTCTCCAGACAGGAGCTCATCAGCTTCAAGGTAGGACGGCTGCAATGCAGAGTAATTTTCTGCAAGAAAAAGCCAACTGCTTTGGTGTTTGATTATTTGGATGTGTTCCCACAGCCTGCTGTCCTTGACAACCTCCTCACCTCCATGAGGTTTGTTCTCCGAGGAATGGGAATGCTGAGAATTAACCTGGCCAACAAGAAAAACAAGGCAGGACCACTTAGATTGTTCCATTATTATTTTTAACCTTTCATTGCAAACCCACACTGTCACGCTAGAGGTCAGTGTTTAGTTATAGAAATGGCCCGCAGTGTCACTTCCTGTGATGTTTGTCCACCTTCAGGTGCACGCGCGCTCCATCCTCTCCTGCAGCCAGTGTTTGGGGGAGGACCAGGAGCTGCTCCCCTTCGTGGCTCACGCTTTCTGTGCACTTTGGGCCGATCAGGGGGTGAGAGCAGGAGCAGCCCGGGGACATGAGTATGAGCTGAACGACTCTGCACTTTAGTGAGTGAAGTGACCTTAAAAGGCCATTCATCTTAAATGCCACCTTCAAGGGAAGTGATAATAGAAATGTGGAGCAGGAGTTCAGGGTTTTTATTTTTTATTTTCTAATTATTAAATAGTTCCAGATAGTTCCTTATTCAGAACAAAAGCAAATTTAAATATAATCACCATTGGATGTTGTGCAGTTAACCTGGTAAATACACAAACTTTCCATCGTCCATTCATTTCTAAATAAGTCAAATGTATCGCACTTGATCCTCAACATCATATTGTTATATAATATTGTGTATTATAAAGGTGCCGCAGAAGTTTGGGTAGTGTCATATTTTGACTCATTTGGATCTAAATCAAATCTGAATAATTTTGCAAGTCTATTTAAAGACCAAATTCATGTCTTTATTATTAAATTTGAACAATTAATTATTATTTAAACGTGATAGTTGTACAATACATGTTTGGTTTTCAACTTAGTTTAAGCTGTAAAAAAAAAACTTTCATTCTGTTTGGCCTGCCCTGCCCTTTAGGCACTGTCCTCCATGAACATCCAGTGTTCTGGGTTTAGCATTGTGAATAAATGGCAGCACACGCCTTTGAAAACTGCTGTGAAGGAGAGAGACATTTTATCAGATTTTTTTTTTCATCTGAATAAATCTGGGTTGAATCGACCGAATGGAGGTCCTTATCTCATGAACAAGGAGCTTTGCCCAGTCGAAACTCCCGCTGTCCTGACGGAGAAGGATGAGGATTTGACAGCTTCATTATCGGAACTCAATAAGGTTGTGGCTGGAGGGACGATATGAACATCTTTTTACTGTTCTCACTCTGTTGGACACATTGATCTGTTCCTTGGGGAATATTGGATAAGACTGTGTCGTGACACACTCCACTTCCCCAAGACCATAAGACGCTGTGCCTTTTTAAAGACAGTTTTTGAAATGAGGTTTTCTGTGAAGCAGACGTTTAACTTTAGCGTTACTGTAATAACATCTCACTGAAAATATGTTTGATCTGCATGTCTCAGAAAAGTTTCTGCACCGACCATGCTTTGTTGACAGAACCGTGACGACGGGGAGAACATGACATTTTTCAATAATCCAGGCTTTATAAAAAGGATAACATGTTGTTGCAAACGATTATGAATAAAATTTAGCATCACTTTATATCATAGTTGCTTTTTATGTCAAGAATTGCTTGGCATTGTGGGTCAATTAACTGGTTGATAAGTTCTGGCTCGACGTAACTTCTGCTTAGCCTTTTTTTTAAATAATTTTTTCTATTTGTAACAAGAAAGAACGCCCCCTTGTTTCCACTTCCCCAGTGATTGGTCGATTTTCAGTCGAAATTTCAGGGCTTGAGTCGACCAAGACTTTCTGGTTGATTACAGCCCTACACTGCACTGCCATTTCTCAACATAGATGTTGCTGTTACCCCTTTGAATTTCAAAAGTTATAACAGTAATATTTATACAGACGACTCTAAACAGTTCTGAATGTTCTGTGCTGTTCTTCCTTATTTATTTTTTTTCCCCCGACAGTTTCTTCGACAACATGAGTCGAATCGTCGCTCCCAACTACATTCCCACAGAGACGGACATTCTGCGAGTCAGAGTGCGCACCTGTGGAGTTATCGAGACGCAGTTTCAAGTTGGTGAAACCATCTTTCGGTATGACTTGATGATCATTTTGTTTGGCTGTGGAGTTACTTTATTTACGGGTTTTACCAACCTTTCTTCTTTGTGATGTTGAATTTAACTGGTCCTATTAAACAAGGCCCTACGTCAGGACCGTCAGAGGTTCCTTTCCTCTCCGTGTCCTGTGGTTTGTGTTGAGTTTTGGCACTGGTACTCAGTTAAGGAGAGTACACAGATAAAGATACTTGTACTATAATCGATATGTTAAAACAAAAAAGTGATAGTAATAGTTTTAATTCTGTATTTGACAGGAAATGGAAGAAAAGAATACAGGAAGAAAAAAACTTGATGACAAGGTTGTCTAGCAGCAGTAGAGCCACCGAGCTGACGTTGCCCTTATGTTTGAAACTGCATCGTTAACTTTTAGTAACTGCTCAGCTCCTGGATTATGAGAATGTCCAATATAATATTGAATTATTGTCAATATGTCGATATATAGAGTCAGTGGGTTGAACCAACTGAAGCTATGGTTTTGTTTGTGATGTTTGGATTGAAAATCATCGTCTGTGTTGTGGCCTGTGTTCAATCAGCCGTTATACACACACAATCATGTGATGATTCCCTCTGAGGACACACACACCTCACTGAGCCTCTGGAGACTCAGCCTCATCCACCAGCTTTTGGACAGTCGTAGATGAATGCTGAACACTGAACACAACTGAGCGGTGCAAAGGCACCAGCAGTACCTGGGTGTGGAAGGAAAAACATTTTTTTATATATATATATACACACAAACACACACAGTACCTGCCTTCAATCTGCCTGCTTATACAAGGAATAAAAAGTGGGGAGAAGTAACAGTAAATAAAACATTGATGCCTCCTCCACCCCTCAACCTTTGAACTTTTGTTCAGGGTAAGAAATACAGATCTACATCATTCATCAGGAGACGTCATAAATATTACATTAAACGATGCTGCGTCACTGCTGAAAACTTTTTCCAGTTTCAGTAAACAGTTCTTTTCTCATTAACATACTTCATACAATAACACTTATTTATTAATTGATGTTTCAGGCGGCTCCATTTGAATTTGTGGTGATCCTGCTTGGGGTCATGAACCCTGGGTTGGAAAAACAGTGCACTAAGGTTATCATCAAAAAGGGTTTGTCTCATCCTGGGCACATTCTGGTTTCAGGAATGTGTGATTTCTATATTTAATCATAAATATATGAAGCCTGGTCATTAAGTCTGGGGGAGATGGGGGCAGGGAGGTTGCCTTGTCTGCAGTCCCCCAAAGTGGTTGTTTTTAAACTCAACACTTAGCACTTATTGTCCCTGGACTGACTCTTGACCTGGGGCGTACAAATGCGTCATTGATGTGACATGACTGCCGCAATCATGCACCTGGAAAGTGCCGCTCCCAAATGGAAAGCCATTACCAGTGTCACCCAGACCCTCTGCTTGACTCTGTGTTAGATTGAGATGTGAAATGGTTGAACGCACAGTTTTAAGAAGAACAGGGAGTTTAATGTAGGAAGAGTTCAGACCTTATTATTTATAAAATGGGTTTTGAATGTATTTACAAAAAATGTACGAGATTTGTAGCTCAATCTCCCTGGTGGAAGAACACCTTCTTCTTGTTGGATGGAGGTGGAACGTAGTAGAAAATCTTTTTACGTCTAATAGAACACACTTCATATTTGTCTTCCAAAATAAGAACAACGCCCTTGTGTTTCTTCTCAGGTTGTACGATGTCGGCGGCCAGAGGAGTGAGAGGAGAAAATGGCTAAGTTGCTTTGACAGTATTCAAGTCATGCTTTTTGTCGTGGCCCTAAGCAGCTATGATATCAAGCTGGTGGAGGAGCCTACAGTGGTATAAACATGACTACTGATATTGACCGTAAATCAAAACGTGACACGCATTTGTTTTTCCTCTTACTGTATTTTTCTTCTTCTCTAGACGCGGCTGCAGGAAAGCCTTGATCTCTTCACCTCCGTCTGCTCCAACCCCGTTTTTAACAGCACGTCACTGGTCAGTGTGTCAGCATCAGTTTACACTGCAGCGCTACAGGATACAGTTACAATAAGGTGTTTTGACCAGTCTGTGGGCCAGGACTCTTAAATCTCTGAGATTTAGTTGAAGGTTTTCTTGCTTTTATTTAGAAGGCTGCACCTTGTTTGTTTCCACCACAGACTCAACTGACTTCCTGTGTTTATCACAACTTCATGTTTTCCTCCTCTGACTATTGCTCTACCAATGTAAGTTGATTTAAATCTATGTGAATGACACGGTAAGTAGCGATTCCAGAAGGACATTCTTGACTTTTGAGCTGAAACACAGAGTTGCCACAGTGCTGTTGTACAGAACGTCATCGTCAACGGCCTCAGAAAAGACAAAGTAATTGACTTGATTGTCCACGTAGCTGAGCTCTGGCCGTAGCTTCGGGTCATCCATCAACCCTGTCAAGTTTGAGGGATGAGTCACTGATTGGCCGACCTTTGACTCGTTTCCTCCGCCTTACGAAGTCATTATCTGTTTTGCCGTCTTTCAGTCTTAATGTAACTGCTCGCTGTGCCTCAGATACTAGCTTAGCCTACAGGTTTGATGTCAGGAACACTTCTACCATGAGTTGAATACCCACGGATTCACAGTTGAATCGTGGGAAATGAAAAGATTCAGGTAGTTGTTTTGTCTCCCAGTCGAGTTTCAGTTTTTAAAATGTAAAGCAAAATTTATTTATTCTTTAGTTGGTGTTGGAAGTGGTCCCTGCCCCAGAGGTTTGACACACTTGCACCTTCTGCATGTCATAAAATCATTAGTCAAATACATATTTGTTTTATTTATTTTGTTAAAGGGCTAATATAAATTGGGCTCACTGACTAGTTGTTTATTACTTGGTCTGATGCTGTTTTCCTTTTAGCTGCTTCTGTATTAAACCATGTTGAAGTTCAGTTTCAGTTGGCTTCAGTGGGGCAGCAGTTTGTTTTGTTTTGGGTTTTTTTTTGCTGCGCAGAGAGATATTTGACCCAATTGAGCTAATTATTTGCTCTAAATTTTCATGGGGGAGAGGGTGACTAGTGAACCATCAAGCTGTGTACGCAGTGGCAGAACTGCCTTTTCTGAAGTTTTTTCTGAGGAATACGATTCAGATTAACTTTTTTACCAGTGTGATTTAAATTAAAACAAACGTCTTCATTTTTCCCCCCCTCACCTTAAAAGGTAAACGTGAAATGACTTTGACTTGGCCTCCACGTTGGGGGATATGACCAATAGGTGACTAAGAAGTAAGTGATCGTGTGGAATTCAGGGTCTGACAGGGTCTAATTATCAGTTAACAGTTTAAAGTTAGAAACTGAGAGATTTGGAAATAGAGTCGGAAATTAAGTTCCACTGTTTCTGAAAAGGTGAAAAAGCTGAAGGTGTTTCAACAATTTTGTTGGAGCTGTAGAGTACAGCTGGTACTAGTACTGAGTATTGAGTACCAGTCTGTTTGTACATGGGTCTGTAGTGCAGAAGTATAGGTGGAATTTACACAATGTCAAATGTACGATTATAGTCATCAGGGTAAAAGTGTCAAAGTTCATGAATTGTCCTGTGTGAATATTGAACCTGCGCTATTTTTTTTTTTTTTTTGACAGATTCTGTTCATGAACAAAACTGACCTTTTTCAGGAGAAAATCCTTCATTCTGGAAGACACCTGAGGTTTTACCTATCTAATTATACAGGTATGTGGTGAAGGATTGGACAGTGGATTCGCTTGGTGTACGTGTACTCATTTGGTTGTAATATTACTGTCAGTTTTTGGTTTCTTCTCGGACATGGACATGTTCAGTACGTGTCCCTGCACCCTACCTTAAGAGTACTTCAGAGTACACCGTGTGTGTTGATTTAAGCCCTGCGGAGATTACAATAAAACTCGGGAAGTATTTGTTTGTCTCCCATTCCTTGAGGGATATGTTTGCTTATTCACATGTACTCCCGTGTTCGTGTTTGCCAGATTCCTACTGGACGCAGGAGTTCATACATATTTCATGTTTCATGCTTCTGACTATCCGTACCAGTGATATTATTATTTGAGTGTGTTTGGAAACGGAGGAGAGAAACTCTGGTGCAGTTGCTCGGTGTTTATCAATATTTCATGACTTCGACTCTTGAACTAATTCTGATGTTTCCACACTTCCAGGATCAGACCGTGACGTCGATGCGGCGGCTCGCCACATCACTGCCATGTTCTCATCATGTAACGACGACCCCGACAAGGCCGTGTATCACCACTTCACCACAGCGACGGACACAGCCAACGTGCAGGTAGTCTTCCACATGGTCATTGATCAGATCATCAAGCAGAACGTCGCAGCTGTGCAGCTGATGTGAAAGTCCCTGGAGGACCGCTGAGATTTCTGTGACTCACTGCACTGGGATTTGGATCAGATCACATCTGGTCCATTTTTTAATTTTTTTTTTTTACCATGTGAAATTCTATTTATTTTAAACATAATTTATTATTTTTTAAGTTATAATTTTAAAATAAAATATTTATTATTCAGACATACATTTCCATATGTAGTTTTGTTGTGGTTTCAGTGTGTAGACACTGTATATCTACACATCTAGCTCCACAACCAGTGAAACAAATGGCAAGTGCTTCGAGCCCATCCTTTTTATATAGAGAAAATGTTTTATTGTAATTCCAGAATGAATATGCTACACGATGTATTTATGGAGACCCAGACCAGATATATGTACAAGGATACAATACTTTTACATTCCAGTTAATGAAATGGCAAATGAAAAAGTGATTTAATTTTCTGCCATGAGAATGTGGAACAGTTTTAGACCTCATCATGCCTTTGAGGAAAGACAGCGTTTGTCCCCCATCTCGGCTCTGCTGCTCAATCTCCTGCACAATCTGAAGAGTCCATAGAGATGTGGACCTCGGCTTTACACTTGAAGGAAGTCTTTACGTCCTGGGTGAGCTCACAGCTCTGCAGGTTGGGTGAAATGTCTTTAATGCACAAAGGCTGTGAACAGAAATTTAAAAAACAGTTATTAAAAATAATAATAAATGTACTGTATGTTACCCTGACATTTAACTTACTATACTAACTATACGCCTGGTGGTCGTTTCAATCAATCAACAGTTTTCTTTGAATATGTTAGTTTGGAGAAAAAAAATCTGCTTATTAGATTACAGTTGGGGTTTTTTTTTCTTCACCATATTTCTACAAACAAACTCTTAGTAATTTGTTCTTGTATGGTTGATTATCAGGAACAGTACTGACTACTGATTTCATTATGATTAATTTGTAGTTTCTTGTGTTTTTGCTGGGGGGGGAAACTCGCTGTATAAAAGGATCCAAAGTATAAAATGTATCGACTTTTTTCAGATTTTAAATTCACATGCAAGGAAAATCATGCAATCAGTTTGCGGTAAGCCTAAATCACGGTATAAATCATTTTTACGCTCAGCATTTGGTTCACCGTACTTTAAAAAAAAAACATATATTATTATACATGTTCAAATTACCCGTGGTAAAACTAAATTTAAATACGGGTACGGATGTTTTGTCCGTGCGTAAAGACGCGTAAACCCAGACGAGCACTGACCATAGACTTCAGGATGGAATAGTGCGCAGTCAGGTCAGAGAGCACGCTGTTGGTGGCCGTCTCCTCGCTCTCTGTCGGATCCAGCTCAGCCCTCCTGACAAACGATGACCTCCGGATTCCGGACAGTAAGCCGGACGCCCTGCCCACGGAGTAGTAGCTGGGTCCGGCCACCTGTTTGTACCACGCCTGCGTCGGGGCGCAAGCGAGAAGCACGGAGATCACCGCCAGGCGGAGGACGAGTTTAGCCGGCATCTCCATGTGGGTCATCAGTCAGTGTTAGTGCTGTACTCCTCTGTCTGGTCACTGGTTCTCCGTGTCTCCGTGTCAGAGCTCACTGCTTGTTAGTCAGTTGGTAGAGTCTACTTATACAGCCCACGACCACGCACGACTCCGTCAACGAGAACTACCTCACAGTGGCCAATTCACGCCCCACCACACAGAAAACTGCACAAAGTTGCAGCGTTTTGTCTTCTCCATCGGCCATTCACTGTATTCTATGGATACTCAGTATGTATTAGCGTGGACACCCGCTCATCCAGGTCACCAAACCTCAGCCATTGAGTTTAATGACGTTCTATTTCTAAATGTATTCTCTTTAATATGGGAGATGAAACTTCTTCAACCGAAGCCTGCAGTCCGTCCTGTTTCTTCAGACGTGGATGTGTCTGTATTATAACTCTGATTTGTCTAATCTGCGTCTCACTAAACAAATTAAAGGGAGACTAAAATTCAAAAGATATCTTTAGACACATACTCCACTTGTAAAATGTCTGCCAACCCTGTTTCCATCCTAGAAGTCTTTTTTTTTCTTCCCATTGAGCAACTGTAGGTCAAGGTCTGCTACATTGTTTCAATATTTTTTTTATCAGTTAAAAAAATGAAATACTCTTAACTTTTGAGGATGATATGTTAGAAATGGGATTAACCTGAAATTACAGCACGTCTCAGAACTTTGTCTAATTCACTAATAACTGTCCACATCCATCCTCGTCAAATTGCCATATTAACTGACTTCGCTCCTTAAACCTTGTTTTTCAACATAGTGTTTTTTATTTTATTTTATTTATTTTTTGCTTTTCATAATATATCATTGAAAAAGCACAGGGGAACCCGACACAACACATTAGGCAAGCACTAGGTAACAGTCAGCGTGCAGCCACTTCCCCTCTGCTGGTTGGAGTGAAACAAAGAAGAAGAAAAAAAAAGAACAAGTGGAAAACAAAGACAGTGGTTTTTATGTGCAGTAGAAAAAATATGGTTGTCATGTGGTTGTTTTGGTTCCTGTCTAGGATAATATATTAAAAGTTTGGTTTGTTATGTAGGGTTATTGTAATTGTGTTTATTGGATAAATGAAGGCACTAATTAAATATGTTTTTATTATAATAACACCATAAATATGAATTATAAAGCACCAGGTCGAGGTCTGGTGAATGAAAGTGAATGTTCAGCCTCCAGCTAAATGTATGCTTTTTTTTTAAAATCAGGCTAGTTTGCTCAGAAACAACAAATAGGCTTGTGTTTGGTTTAGTTTAATTTAGTTAGTTAAGTTTAAGCATCAACTAATACAGCTGAAATACATTTCTGTAGGTGCGCTGCTGGTTCCCTGTTCTCACTTAATGTACCAGGCTGCTAACGCTAACATGGCAGTGGATTGACCAAAAAAAAAACAGACTGTGGGTTTTGTTTAAATGCATCTCACATTCAGACAGAATAAGCTGACGTCTGTGGTGGTGGTCTGAGTCTACATGAACTGAGAACAAACAGTGTCTTCCTAAAACTTTAACAGATAAAAATCATAACACTTAATCTGGCTGTGCTGCTACAGGATGAGGGTTAAATTGATGCTGCCGTTCCTGGCTGCTAAGTGCAGCACAACATGTTTTAATTATTTCCTTATTAAGATGATAATATCACATGGGATAGGACTGAATCCATCTATTTCAAATGCGTTTAGCACTGCCTAAATATTAAAGTAATAACAGCCATTCCATCAATATATTTTTTAAAAATGCATGTAGCCGTTAGGTTGCAAAAATGGTATCTTGATGCTGTTTAATTAGTACAATTAAGTAAATTTTAAAATGTTTAATCTAATTCATTGAATGTGTGTGTGTGTGTGTGTGACTAATTACCCAACATAAGGCAGTGAAATTAATCACAAGAGAGAGAAAGGAGATAAGAACCTGTCGAGGAAATCCTTTATGATGACTTCAACAACAAGACAAAGACAAGTATGTAAGAAAGCTGCCCATTGAATTCACAATAATTCATGTTGCCTCTGTAGAACATCTGCTCATCCACTCTCTGAACTGCAGGCAGCAGCAGCAGACGGGCTCTGGTACTAATGATGACGACAGAATGATTCACACTACCGTGTGCTGGTAAGACTGGGCTAACATAGTGACATTTTCATAAGCTATAACAGGTGTAATTGTAACTGCATTTGCATATTTCGTTGTTGTAGGATCAAAATGCTGAACTCTCGTTGGGTTCCGTATGTCTATTATATTAAAATTCAACGTATAATTTAACATGAATTAATTTACTAATACCTGTACTATAATTTTCTTGTGTTTTAACCGAACATAATGACAATAAAGACTATTCTATATGTACTGTATATGTGTAAGGTATATGGGCCTTACGTTCACTTTCGTTAGCGTTGTGCTGACCTCTGCTGGCAATTACGGAGAGCACACCCTTACAGGTAGGCCTCAGACCACTTTTGCTATAAGACAAAACCAAAACAACGCAGTATAGTGTAGACTATACACTATACTGCGTTGTTTGGTTTTAGCTCTACACTGTAGAGCGAAGCTGCTTGGATCTGCAAAGACTCGCAGCTTCTAACTGGATAGAAGGTCAACTAGCAGCTGCGGCGTCACGGTAATTGTTTTACCCTTTATGAGAGTAAATGGTAGGACAATGGAGTGACTACTTCATCTGGTTATCTACAGGACAACACTACAGGCAACGTGCAGGAGCCGTCATGACGGACATTTGTTACAGTTGTAGTACTTGTTGTATTATGTTCCCATTGAAACATTGGTGTCTGTACATGAGGTATGCTACAGGAGCATTAAAGAGTGAGGCTGATTCCAAGTTGTATCATTGTCACGCTAAACTTCCGCCATCGGCTGAGGACATTTTGGGGCCTTTTCTCTGGGCTCTGTGCGTCCCATTCAGCAGGACGGGCAAATGTGAAACTGTCCTGGGCTACTATAGTACACAGTCTCTGCAGAAGCAGCTGAAAAACTGATGCCCACAACCTTATGAACTGTTCAGAACAGGTGGGTGGAAAAGTCCGTGTTTTCTTCTGTCCCTCTCCAGTGCCGTTTTTTTTTTCTAACACGGGCACTAGACCTAGAGTACATAACCTCGCTTCACAGAGGTTCACACTTGAGAATAACCTTTTTAATGGAGTCTAACATCCTGAGAATCACTATCTGATGGAAGGCACTCTCCCGACAGAAGGAATCTCTTTCGTGTTTTTGAATTGTTGGCCAGTTGTATAGGTGTGCTGCTGGTTAATGAAGTGGTCACTGTTATCACTTAATGTACCAGGCTGCTAACGTGGCAGTGGTTTGACCACAAAACAACAGACTGTGTAGAAGACATTTAGCACAGGATGTGTTTGAGGTTTTCCTCAACAGGGGAGTTGGTTTAAATGCATCTCACATTCAGACTGAAAGAGCTGACGTCTGTGGTGAACCTGAGCTGAGTCTACATGGACTGAGAACAACTGTGTTGGTGTGACCCAGTAGCATCTGTTTATAAGAAGCTGATAAGAGACAGGATCAGTGTCATCCTCAAACTTGTCTAACCTATAAAAATTACAACACTAAATTTGGCTGTACTGCTACAGGACTACCTTTAATTATTTCCTTATTAAGATGATAATATGACTGAATCCATCTATTTCAGGTGAGTTTAGCGCTGCCCAACTATTAAAGAATTAACAGCCACAAGTCCACAAACAGTTTCTTTAAATACAATCAAAATCCTATATAGGGTCTATGGTAAAAAATGATGACGCATTTATATCACTGATTTAATTTTGATTTTTTGATTAGAATCTTTTGCCCACACTGCTGATCTGATGAGCTGCTAAACTGCTTTTCATTATTTGTTAACAGTGACAATCAAAGCCTCTTGAATCTTTTGAAATAGTGTAATCACACAATACTAACACAGAACACATCCTCTGTCCAGGTTTAATTTGCTCAGGTTATTTTGCTTCCATCTAAACGACATCTATTTCCTTCTACAGTGTATCGATCAAACTGAACATAACTATGCTGCAGAATATTTGTTGTATACTCCAGTTCGTCCTGGAGCCTTGCTTATTTTCCACTGAAGCAGCGGGTCATCACCGCAGAAGAGGAGTGAGGAAATACAAGAGGAAAGTTGTTGCTGCTGTGATGATGCAGAGGTGATAATAATCTCTGGAAGTTTTAATTGCAGATCCTAATCTTTAATATCTAATGAGAATCAGACTTGTTGGCCAAGGGAGAAGTGGTTTGCTGTGAATCATCATCATCTCCTCTTTAGATGGATCTCAAGCTTTATTCATTAGTTACATTTCAAAGTAAAAGGCATTGGTATATGGGACCGTTGTGAGTGGGAGTGGCACTTTTTTTCATTGATATTTTTTTCTATAAACCTGTATCAGACTTGTGTATGAAACGCCAAAAATCGTTGTAATGTTTTGAACGTGGGCCACACAAATCTCGCCATCGGCCGTGGAAAACAGAACAGAACTTACTTTTACTAATTTAAAGTTAAAGCTCAGAACTAGAATATTAACTATGAAAACGACACTTTCTGTGTATGAGGAGGCGGTGTTACAAGCACACTTAGCCTCCTTTCCCACAAGAAAGCAGAACACTGACATATTTCCTCTGAGCATGGTCTGGTTTCATATATATCCCCGTCTTGTTCACGACTGATTGCTGTACTGTGTCTGTGGTACGTGTCTGACCTGGTTTCACTTAAAAAAACACACACACAAAAAAACCGAGAGAATAGTTTAAACCATTTTAAGATATGATTGAGTGGCATCTGAATGACTAAACCAGTATGATGGCTGAACACACACACCTGATCTGGACCCTGGTGCTGCTGCTTCTGTCTGGTGAGTACAACACTAACTGTGTATCCAACCTGAGAAAATAATGTTGTAAATTATTTCTAAATATTCTTCTAACGATTGGTTTCAGATGTAATCTCCAGTGACTGGGATGTGCATGTGGAGCCAGTTCTATGTGCAGTCAAAGGCTCCTCTATCGACATTCCCTGCTCATTCACATATCCTGTTGGTCAGACTGTAAAGAATGTGGCGTGGGCTCACCATGAAGCTGCCTTTGTCAAAGGTCCTTTTGTGTTTGAAAGCACATCAGAACCTACATCGACAAAGTTTCAGTACCTTGGTGACAAACTCCATAATTGTTCTTTAAGAATATACAAAGTAGAAAACAGAGATGCTGGGGATTATGCATTCAGATTTTGGACCGATCGTGACCGCTGGACTGGTTACCCAGGCGTCAATTTAAATGTTAGCGGTAAGTAAAAAAAAAAAAACAAGTTGTAGATCTTAAGAGATAAATCTGGAAATTAGCTCATGTGGCATTTTGCTCTTCTAGATCTGAAGATCATACAGTCCAATGGGAACAAGGTGATAACAGAGGGCGACAATGTAAAGCTGACCTGCATCATTGGCTGCAAAGACCACAGTCATTTCCAGTGGTATAAGAATGGACATCCCATAATTGAAGGACCCTCACTTTATTGGAACAACATTTCCTCCAACAACTCTGGGAACTACAGCTGTTCCATAAAAACACACCCACAGGCAACTCCAGGAGTCGTCAGTATCAACGTAGAATGTAGGAACATGGCAACTAATTAACACAATGTAAGACCTTCAGACAAAGTAGAGACACTTTTGTCTTCTTTTGCTCTTCAGATGGTCCAAAGAACACATCAGTATCTGCAGAACCAGGACTGGAGGTCTATCGAGGCAGTAAAGTTACTCTCACCTGTAGCAGTGATGCAAACCCCCCGGTCGAGACATTTACCTGGTTTAAAATTACTTCTGATCATCTTGTAAAAGTTGCTGGGAACAAGTCTGAGCTGGTCTTTTGGGAATGTCCTCAAGATGCAGAAGGACGGTACTTTTGCTGTGCCACTAATAAACATGGAAGCAAGAACTCTTCTGTTGTAGAGCTAACCGTCACAGGTCAGTCACTTTTGGTTTTCCTGCTCTTTTGCAAAAACTGGGTTTTTTGTTTATTGGGTTAAGGTGTTTTTTCCATAGTTTAAAGAAAAATATATTTAAATTTGGGTTATGAGTGAGAAATCATGACTAATCATGATTAATTTAGATAACTCACATTTTTTCTGTATACTGCCTCAACAGAAAGACACATCAGCAGCTAGATGTCCGTGTTTCACACCTGTTTGTATTTGTGACTAATACAACTGATGGAAAATTTATTTTGGAAAATATAAAAAACCTAAACAAAGCTATTTCAAGACATTTTATAGTTACAGATTTGGTTTGAACAATTTAAAAAATATGTTCACATGTTTACATTTTAATTTTAACCATAAAACTTTTTTTGATTAATCTTTATTTATTCACCTTACCTTCAGTCTTCTATTTTGCTTTTGCATCGCCCAACAAATGATGATACTTTAAGTTTTAATTAAATGGGAATTTTTAACATACATTTTTGATTTATTGCATTTATAATAATGCAATTCTTTATATAAATTAATAGTTGTCTTAACTATCATAGGATATAGATAGATAATTTACCCTGTGGGATTTTTAGCAGTGTTGTGAAATAAAGTCTTTGTATTTTCTTTGAGGTTCTTTTACAGCATTCTTATCACTTGAGTAAAATACAAACTCTCTCGTCCCCTCACATAAGGTTTTCTCGTCAGAGACATAGTCATCATCTCTGCTGCAGTTGTTGTTGTAACTGTACTGCTTATTGGCATCGCTGCTCTAACCTTTAGCAGAAAGTAAGATTCTTTAAAAAGATTTTTAAAAACATATATCGCTACTCAGTTTCTCACATATATTGATGACATAATGATGCGACAATGTCTCTGTTTCAGACTCAAAACATTGTCATGTGCAGCAGAGAACGAGCAGAACAGCCCAAAGGTAATACGTTTACATTACAGCTCATTACAGACTCATAATTAAATACATTTAATTGTGATAAGTTTGGGCTAAATAGCAGTCAGGGAAAATAAATGTAGTTTGTAGGTGATGGCTAAATAGCAGTCAGGGAAAATAAATATAGTTGGTAGGTGATTGTAAGATGTAAGAATTAGAGAGAACATGTAGCAACCAGAGGAAGAGTGGGCCTGAGATAAAGAGGGACTTTGTCCAAGATCGACTCATAATACTTTTTTTGTCACGCTATCAGTGTCAGAACAGTAAAAGCTGAGCGGGGAGGTAGCCTGGAAGGCTGTATTGTGATAAAGAGCTCACACTAAATTTCAGATGCAAATCCTATTCCACAACTGCTAATATTGCTTCTACTTAATAACTGACATGTACAAGCTAATTATTGGAGATCACAAAATACCTCAAAAAAAGCAAAGCTATAATCAGTTAATTAGTTGATAATGCCCAGCTGAGCTTCACTGATAACTCAATTCAGCTGAAAAATTAGCTACGGATAAGCGAAAAGACTAAAACCCCAAACTGACAAGACGGTTACTAATTGTTTCAACCAATTGGAATTATTTTGCAAACATCCACAACATCAGGCCTTACTGAAAAAAATTTAAATTTTTGAATTGACATCCTGGATCTGTTACACAGAAATCAGATAACAGTAACACAGTTCTTATCATTATTTGTCTCACTGAGGGCATTTTTTTTTATTTTGTGATGGCATTCAGGATGCAGTCTACGTCAATTGGCATGTGTCTGACATCGGCCAATCACAAGAGAGAGATAAGAGAGAACAACCCGTCAAGCAAATCATTTATGCAACTATTGACTTCAACAATAAGACAAAGACAAATATGTAAGAAAGCTGCCCCTTGAATTCACCATAATTCATGTTGCCTCTGTAGAACATCTGCTCATCCACTCTCTGAACTGCAGGCAGCAGCAGCAGACGGGCTCTGGTACTAGTGACGAGAGTGTGACTTACAGCACTGTGTGCAGGTAAGACTGGGCTAACAGTGACATTTTCATAAGCTACGACAGGTGTAATAACAGCATTTGCATATTTATTTGTTGTAGGATCAAAATGCTGAACCCTCATGAGTTGGAAATCCAATCTTAGGACGGGCTTGTTGATTCAAGGAGAAAAAACAAAATATGTCAAACACCAACTCTAACTCTTAAACACAGGGCTATAAGAGAAAATGTCGACATCATAAAGGGTTAACGTTTGGATAACAACCATTAAAACAGAAATACATATCTGGAGCAAGGTTATAATAGTTTTGGATTTACCATTGTATCTCTGATTCAGTTAGTTTCATTTGTTTTTAGAGTGAGTTTTAGTTAGTTTTTTTTCTTTTTCTAAATGCTTAGTCTTAGTTTAGTTTTTATTAGTTTTAATATTAGTTTGAGTGTTTATATACTTTAGGTTATTTGTCAGGTTTAGGATTGAAAAAAAAAGTCAATGTCCATAGCAATCAAAAGAGTAATAAACTGACAAATACCAAAACACGTCATTTTATCAAGCTCATTTTTGTTTTATTTCAGTTAATAAACATTTGTATAACTTTTTTTTTTGAGTTTTTGTTATTTTGTTAGATTTTATGAGTCTACAAATCCTTTTTTATTGAACCAGTCAGGTGTTTGTTGACAACAATTCATTGTTTTGTCCATAGGCATGTGTTGTATAGGTATTTATATGCATCTATGTATGTATATATATATATATATATATATATATATATATATTCTTAATTGTTACATCTGCAACTACACCTGTAAACAATACTACAACAGGGCATTATTACATAATTTCAAAACATAATATATTATATTAAAATTCAACGTATAATTTAACAAACATTAATATACTAACACCAGTACTATGTATATGTGTAAGGTATATAGGCGTTATGTTCACTTTCGTTAGCGTTGTGCTGACCTCTGCTGGCAATTACGGAGACCACACCCTTACAGATAGGCGTCAGACCACTTTTGCTATAAACACAAAACCAAAACAACGCAGTATAGTGTTGAGCGAAGCTGCTTGGATCTGCAAAGAGTCGCAGCTTCTAACTGGATAGAAGGTCAACTAGCAGCTGCGGCGTCACGGTAATTGTTTTACCCTTTATGAGAGCAAATGGTAGGACAATGGAGTGACTACTTCATCTGGTTATCTACAGGACAACACTACAGGCAACATGCAGGAGCCGTCATGACGGACATTTGTTACAGTTGTGGTACTTGTTGTGTGTTGTGTGTTCCCAATTAAAAAATTGGTGCCTGTAGATGAGGTATGCTACAGGAGTGTTGAAGGGTGCGGCTGACTGCAAGTGGTATCATTGTCACGCTGAACTTCTGCCATCAGCCGAGGACATTGTGGGGCCTTTTCTCTGGGCTGCATTGGATACACATGTAGCCTACCAAAACTGTCCTGGGCTAAAAAAATACCCTGCCATTACTATTTGAAGACATTTACACACACACACACACACACAAATAGAAATTAGACTAGTTTTAGGAGTCAAAAATAATAGTCTGGCCAATATATTGCAGTTGTATTCCATCCCCTACATCCACAGTGTAATGGGTGTCATCTCAATATAATACATTTGCTTTCAGTTACTTTTCTTTTAGTTTACTGTGGAAATGAGTCACCTGCCTACTGCATCATATATTTTACCTTGCTGGTGACTTCAGTAGCTTTATTGCAACACTCTGACCTGTGACAGGTAGCCTATGGGTGAAAAAGTTAACCACAACATTCTTCGATATGACCACTCAAAAACAGAGCAGTGAAACACCTGCACTGAATGCAGGTTAGACATTTGCAGTGTTTCCCAATAACAGCTGACAGGGCAGGGTGTTGTTAGTAGTGTAATTGTACAAATAATCCATGGACAGATCATGACCCACAATTTGACAAACACAAGACAGGATCACAAAAAAGACAGAAAAATGACGGGTGAGGTATTCTGGACATGGACTGACGAAAGATAGTAAAAAGATGCTGATTGTTCTGCTGGTCTTAAAAGATGCCCATATAGTTTAAGGCAGACGAGGCGGAAAAATCAAGGAAGAAAAAACATGTTTTTATTTGACTAAGCTAGCTTGAAGACATTAAATGTATCTTCAGTTTAGTTGTATGTTGTTTCAGACTGATAAAGAATAAAACCGTACGAGTCATAATGAAAGTCAATTTATTTAAGTTAACGCCCTTTTGCCCTGAAACGAAACCTTAGGAAACACGGAAATGACAAGAAACGGACGTGAACCGGTGCAGCGTCCTTCAGTCCAGTAGAGGCAGCGGCATCACAAGGAGGCTAAGGCGTACGTTACTCTGTATTACTCGAGCCATTTCTGTCCGCACTGGACTGTCAAGTAGGAACATAAATATCCAGCGCCACCTGGAGCAACCACCTGACCTTCTATCTCTGCTGTCTGACACTGACTCGTAAGTCTTCCCGTTTTAAAAAACATATAAACGTTCAACTTAAATTCACTGTGATGTCTCGGTAGCTGTTTGTTTATCATTGTTAGTGTTTGGGGGAATTAGTTTCTGTTAAGGATGAACGTGTTAATGTTAACTACGCAGCGCATCACATTGGCTAAATTACGACAGTTCAAAGTGTAGTATTAAGTAATATGATTTTTCTTTAATGTGGTGTCAACAATTTTATCAAGTTCAAAGTGTAGTATTAAGTAATATGATGTGGTGTCAACAATTTTATCAAAAAGAATTGACTATACTCGTTCTTTGTACCTTTTTTTGTTTTTATCATGGTTTTCAATGGTTAGACGGTGTTCAAACAGTTGTGTTGAACTAGGAAGTTAGTGAACATGTGACCTGCGAACCAAGCTCGTGATTCGCTGTGCCAAAGAGCCGAAGATAATTTTGTGAAAAAGAGTCCTCACTCTAACGTCTAAAACCTTACAGCAGAAAAAAATCTCAAAATTACGGACATTATTTTTTGTTTTGGATAACAGAATTATTTTGGAGTTGTCGGTCGTGAGTGTTAATTGCACCCCCCCCTTTACAACTTATATAATTAACTGTACTTATTTTTTCAAGCTCAACAATGTTTATTGTTGTTGTTGATTTTTTTAATGATAATGTTATTGTTTAATGTTTATGTTCTTGGCTCTAAAATGTTTAACACGGGTAGTACCCTATGTTAGGACATCTTTAATCCACCCCTCTACGTTTCAATATGCGTTGGCATTGAAATGTTCACTGGACAGTTTATTGTGTGGGTGTGGTAAAGGGAAAATGCTGGAAGGAGGCTTGTCTCATGAAAGAAAAGAAAGTGAAAGTATTACCGCTTGCCATAGAGTTAAGTTACTATTAAACCTGTGCTCCAGTGCAGAGAAACCTAAACTTAAAACATGAAGTGCTTCAATTGTGGCCATTGTGCTGTGGAGAAGACTGCAAAGTTCTGCTGCCAGTGTGGGGAGAGGCTGCAAACCACACCAAGTAAGACGTTTACTAAAGCTAATTTCATAAATAAACAAAAGACATTTGTCCAATTTTTCTTGGCAAATGAGAGGTTACAAAGAAGAAAAGAAAAATGTAGTTATGCACTTTAATTGTTATTTATTTTGTATACTGTCATGTGAATGAGGATATATGTAATATTAATACATTTTTACATCATTTTTGCTATGATGCTGCAGTGTTGATAGATAAACAACATGTCACATCATTTTTGCTATGATGCTGCAGTGTTTATAGATAAACAACATACACATAAAAAAATACACATAAAAATGACCTAAGCCACATGTGTCAAACTCAGGCCCGCAGTATAACTATATATTTGGCCCACGAGATCATATCAAATGATCAAAAGCAGGATTTGTACTATTAGTGGTGTATGTGCTGTTATAGAACATACCTTTTTTTAATGACCTGTGAAAAAAATATTTACATTAAATAGAAGCTCAAGAAGCTACAGATAAAAAGACATAAGAAATAAATACCACTGATGTGTGTTTTATTTCAAATTTAATTTCTCATGTGTTTATAACATTTACCTTTGGTTGTTCCAGTTTTAATGTTTATACAAAACTAAAGTTTGTTTCCATATGAAAGAATTATACTATATTACATATATGGAAAGAAGGGAAAACATTCACAATTGCTATACATTTTTCAATAAATATTAAATTTGGCCCACGACTTGCCAGTTTTTAATTTTGGCCCGCTGTGAATTTGAGTTTGACAATCCCCCATCCTTGACCTTGATCTTATTTTGACTACAGGTGCAGACACTCAGCCCAAACCCCTAGAGGCATATGTGAAAAGTGAAAAGTCAGAGGAACAGAACAGTACCCAAACTGAGGATGACAAGGAAGACAGCAGGCCAATAGAATACCTGAGGGAAGAGCCTGATAGCATCCAAAACAAAAGGGTTAGTGCAGCAATGCAGTTACCAACAAGTCCTTCAAAATTTTACAGATGATAAAAAAACAGATGCATCTATCTTTTACATTCACCTTTTTGTTCAAGTTTCTGATTTTTGTTTTTTATTACATTTTTATTAAATGTTTTTTTTAACAAGCATGCTTAGCAAAGATCAGACAGATCACAATTAAGTTTAGGTAAATTATAGTCCATTTTCAAAAAGGTATTTCCAAAGTAGTAAAAATTATTTTAATGTTTTAAGAATGACCAAACCATTTTTGGATTTTGAACATATTTCTCCACATTTTGTTTGTTTAGAGAAGGAAAAAGAAGAAGAGAAAGAAGAAAGATGACAACAAATTGTCAGATCACGTCCATAGCATGCCAGAGGTGTCATTTTTATCCATGGAGGAAGATCTGGAAAAAAGGCTGCGGGGTAAAAGGGACTCCTTTTACAGTGAAACTTCAAACAGTGTAACTGATGACACCTTGGACTTGCCCCAAGATGGCTTCTCTTTGACTAGCCAGCCAAGATCCTTAACAGACAATGGTCCTGCTCCTGTGTCACAAGACACACAACTCATTCAAAGCAAAATGACTGCTGTGACAGTAGCACAGGTAGAAGAAGCTCCCAGAAACTCTGATGACAGCAGTGCACAGCGGTCAACTGATGACCTAACTGTCCAGGCAGTATTAACTGGCACCTTGACTCAACAGTCTATATCACAGAACAAGGTGATCCCTCCTCAGTCAGATAGAGGCAAACAGACTAAAGACACAAGCATTGAAAATAAAGAAATATATAAGGAAAATGCAATGACAAAAATAATACAAAAGGAACAAACAAGAGGCGAAGAAAATGTTCAAAAGCAGACTGATTTAAAGATGGACTTTTGTAGTCCAAAGTTGGAACCTGAGTGTGGGAAGAATGTGACTGCAACCACAGAGGTTGACGAGGGAACAGACGCAAACGGAGAAACAAACAAATCAAAGTCCAACAGCCCAGCTGACTCAACACATGAGAAAGCTTCAGCCGATGCAGGAACTCCACCGGGGATGTCTGATGACAAGAAAGTGCTTCCTCAGCCAGATACAGGCAAAGGGACAAAAAGGGACTCTAAAGTTCATAAGGCTGACAGGCAAAAGATGGTCAACACAGAAGAAGAGTCTACACTGGACCAGAACGCCAATGTAGAGACGAAAGTGACACAAAATAAACAAGCCAAAGGCAAAGAATCGGGTCAGAAACGGACAGAAACTGTGGAACCTGGTTCAAAGATGGTTTTTGGAAATCAAAATGTGAAGCCTGGAGGTGGGAAGAACGTGACTTCATCAAAGATTACAGATGGTGATAAGGGATCAAAAACAGAAAGTGAAAAGGAAAATTCAGAGACTAAAATCACAGCTAATACTTCACCTGAGAAAGCTTCAGCAAACACTGAGAGGGCAGGGGACAAGTCTGAGGACAAGCAGATGCCTCCTCAGTCAGATTTAAGCAAAGGGACGATAAGAGATCCTAAGACCCAAAGGGAAAATTCTGAGAGAGAGACGGTCGTCACAAGGGACCAAAATGCAAATGAAGAGGCAAAGATGACACAAAACAAACAAACCAAAGGCAAAGAAAAGGGTCAGAAGGGTCAGGGTCAGAAGGCTCAGGGAGAGACGCAAACTGTGGAACCTGGTTCAAAGATGGTTTTTGGAAATCAAAATGTGAAGCCTGAAGGTGGGAAGAACTTGACATCATCACAAACCACAGATAGTGAGAAGGGATCAAAAACAGAAAGTGAAAAGGAAAAATCAGAGACTAAAATCACAGGAGGTGACAAGGATCAGAGACAGAAACAAGCTGTTGAACATGTTTCAAAGAATCAAACATCATCAAAGGTAACGCTTAGTAAGATTTGTGTATGTTTATATGTTTGTTATTTAAATTTGAATGGTGGGATAAATATTCATTAAAATAAATTATTGCATTGATTCAAGGCAATAACAACAAATGTTTATTTTTGGGCTATTTGTCTGTCTGTCCTCATTTGTTTGACTGTAATCCAAACAACTTTGCCCTCAAGTCACTGTGTGTCTTCTTTGCAGCTGCCAAACATTGACATTAAGATCTGTTATGTTTAAATTTTTAAATTTTAAATCTGTTATTTTTAAATGGTTTTTGTCTGTAAATAAGTTATGTATATCTAGGTATTAAGTTCCCACTTATCTACATTAAACTGTTTTTGTGCAGCCGGTCAACACAGGCTCAAGCGTGGATCCTGATCCGGCTACAGCACCAGCACAGGACCCAAGTCAAACATCAGGAAGTGATGAGACACCAAATGTGGGAAACACAGAATCCAGCAGCAGAGATGAACTACCTACAAGGTAATAGCGGTCTGTGGGCTATATGTGTATATATTTTGACCAACTTCAAGGTGGCCTAGTTTGTGGTCATTTGAAAAAAAACAGAGAGAAACCGATAGAATCACAATTTGCAAATAATCCACAATTTCTACAGTAAAATAGACAATGATGCCAACAGTCTTTATAACCATGTAACAGGAACTTTGCAATACATCACTTTTGCCTCTAGAAATGTTACTCCAAATGCATTACATACAACATTGTGTCCCCCTCAAAGAGACAAAGCAAAATATTAAGACAGTCTAAGTCAGTATGTTTAATTTGCAATGAGTATGTAGTACTGAAAATATTTAATATTTTTAATAAATATTTTTGTCCAAATGCTATAGTTTCCTTTTGTCAATTAACAAAAGTCTAAACAAAATTGTAAATAATTACATCCCCCTAACCTATGAATTTTACTCTTTCACATACTGTACATTGTAATGACTTTTTGAATTGATTTTGCTTCGTAGGCCGACTACAAGGAACATTGCTGCAAATGACAGAGTCACAATTTACTTTCATGGCATTCTCTCAAAGGATTTCAAGTTCAATCCAGAAGAAGATACAATCTTCATCAGAGCTGGGCCTCCCATTGGAACTTGGAAAGAAAATGCAACTGAACTGTCCGTGACCAAGTATGTAATGCATAGACAGAAGATTATGATGTAGTCCACCTGCATCAACTTTCAGTCACCCTTCACATTGGTCTCCCTTTTCTCCTGCTACAGGGACCTCGGAGATCATGGTTTTCTTGTAGAAGGCACACTGTTGGAAAGCAGAGCAGCTGTTTTATCTAAGTCAATCCCATATAAATATGTTGTTTGGAGGCATAAAAAAAAGGATTATGAGTTTGAGTTCATATACAAGACTGATAATGACAAGATGACCAACAGATGTTTGTTTGTAAATTCCAACCTACTTAAACAAGAAGGTAAACACGGCAGTGGAATTTTTTTCAGTGTATATACGGTATATAAAATTTATATGAGTGTACATAAATATGTTCTGATTGCCACATCAGGCCACACCTCTCAATATTTGGTGCTATTGCTGTTATAATTGGTTTATTTAGAAATATACAACCTAAAGCCACCATTTAAAGTCAATAAATGTCTGTATTTTCATTTTGGTTTAAGGGGACTGGCATCAATATGACGACATCATCTGTGCAGCGCCGTCAAAGGGGATGCTAAAGCGTATAATGAACACCTTTAGGCCAGACCAGAGAAAGGATTTGATTAAAGGCCGAACGATTGCTGGCAATATAATGCTGGACACAATATTTGATCTCCTAAGGAGCTGGAGTGAAACCAACCTGAGAAGCTTTGTCGTCCAACTAAGGCAGTTTTTTAAAGTGTTTTCAGAGCCTTTTGTTTATGAGGAGACACATAAGAAATGGGACTCGTTGAACTATGGAAAGGACGAGGTAAGTGGAATACGAAATTTTCAGCCTAAGTATGCCTTTTACTTAGCAAACAAAAATACTGCAAAAAAGGGGGTTCACACCCTCTTTTTTGCAGTATTTTTGTTTTCAAGTATTTGAAACAAATGTAAAAAAATGCCAGATGCACATTCTGAACAACATTAAAATGCAGAAGGCTTGGTTTTTGCTGAATAATTGTTTTTTATAGAAATGTTGGAGCAGCATTACCTCTTACAACTGACAGTGCTATTAAACAAATTAAAATGTATTAGCTCAAAATGATCAGAAAACAGCAAGAGTATGGCCTTTTTACTTCATTTGTTTTAAAATGCATTATAAAACAAAAAGGCCAGCAGAAAGGGACCTACAGTTACTGTTCACACCTGCCTGAAACAGTCCATTAGGGTGATTGCATTTTACCCTGGTTTCTCAATTTCTTTAGGTGAAAGAGTTGCTGAAGAATTTCATGCTAAGAAAACTGATACCTCAGTTGCTGAAGGATGGAAATGGGCAGATGTGTTACATACAGGATCCCCTGAAGGCAGCTGTGATCATGCTTAGTGTTTGTAAAGAGTATGGAATTTGGCAAAGTAATGAAGAGCTTAATCAACTCTGCAACACACTACATCTGCCTAAATTAGGCAAAGATTTCCAGCAGTATTGGGCGGACTTTTCTAAGGATGTCTCAGTTTTCAAAGAGTAAGAGTCTGTTTTTAACAGTGATTCAGTGAATTATGTTAATTTCACTATAAACATTATGGTATTTTAAGCCAAAATAAAATCCTAAATACAATATTCCTTTTGTCATAGTCTGCCAAAAAATTTGCTGGACGTGATTAACTCTGTGAAAAAAATGGGGACGCCCCGGTGGATTCTGGTGCTCCCACTCCTTCATCTCCTTAGAGGTAACACCAAGCCCTTTCAAACACCGTCGTCTGGCAGTGCTAAATACGGGCTGACATGGGCAGGTTTACAAGGCTTGGAAATGGGCCACTCACCGACTTTATACAGTCAAGAGAGAAAGTGAGTGATAATTTTCTTGACCAGACTCAGGGTCCATCTAAAAAAAAGTTTTTTTGTAGCTGTGAATTTTTTCTTTTTTTCAGAGCTCTGATGAATATACTGAACAGCTACAGTTACTTGATGGAGGTGGATGTGCTCCTTGTGAGATCTTGTCTGTACCTGTTCTTGGTGGATGACTTGAAGGAGTTTCTTGACAATATCAATGTTGAGCTTTTGGATGTCCTGAATATTTTCACTTTCAAGATGCCTCAGGATATTTACTACACCAACTTTCAGGTAATAAGAAAACTGTTGAAGAGAGTGAGATTTGACTCCTAAAATGTCATTATATGATTTAATGCCTCTCAATTTGCTTTATAGGCTGTATCAGATATTCTCTCCCATGTACAAAGCAGACTTATTGAGTCAAAATACAGGTGATATGCTCTTAAATGTTTTGTGTGTCTGCAAGACATTAAAGAGAATCAAATATTATATACATAACCCCGTCTTTTTTTAATCTCCCTTTTTATTTGTCTTTATTTCAGTTTGTTCACCGATGCCTACAGGAGAGAGTGTCTGACAGCTGCAGTGAAACTTCTAGAGAAGATCTGCAAAGAGGTCAAAAACTACAGCCAGAACTTTGCTGCAGGTATCCCTGTAGCCTGCATGAACATGGTTGCATCAATCTCTGACTTTGTTCAGTGTAATGTAAAACAGGTAATTGACGTAAGTTGGATACTGCGTCGTAGTTTTCTGTCTCTGTGTCCTTGGTAACTAACTTTTGTTATCTAGGAGGCTCAGGAAGAGAATGAAGAGGATACATTTATCAAGCACGCGATCACTGAAGCCATGGGAATCATGAGAGACTGGATCAACCGTTCCTTCAACAAACAGTTGATCTCAAAATCAATGTTCTCCACAGCTTACAACAAAGATGAGATTGAAGTGAGACGCTTTGTTATTTTTTTTTTACAAACAACATTTCCATAAGAGCTGTTGAACCTTTAATTTTTGTTTGTGTTCCTCAGTTGTGGAACAACATACTCTCTATCCGTTTCTACAATGAAGACATAACAACAGAGTGGAGACTCAAGTTCACAATGGACTTTGAGGGAAAATACAAAAAGGTATGAAATGTTGGCTGTTTTTTTATGTAGTTAATATTTATACAACTTATGTAGAGTGAGATTCTCACAGCTAAATGAAGAAGGTACGACACAGAAGACAATGGAATGTCTTGGTTTCTTAAAAAACAGTCACAATTGCCTATATCTTAACTGGATTATTTGTTGTCACAGCTAAGTTTCATCAAAAAGAAACAAATATTTATGGAGAAAGGACAATCTTTAAACTGATGTTGTTGTCACATTAGTCAACACATCAATAAACTATGCATAAAATAAATTAAATTAATTTTAAAATGCAGGTCAGACGACTTCCAGGTATGGCGGCGATCTAATTCGTTATGTAGTTCGAGAGCTCCCAGAACAGTCTGACATTTCCCCTGCACTAACATAATTAAAGGCTTTACATCTGTGAATCTCTTATGAAGAATTTTCAATTAATACATTTAAAACCCCAACAAGTCCAAATAGTGAGAAAAATGACGGTATGGTGACAGGACATTGATACAGGTGACGCTAACATGGATACTACGATGGAAGTCCCACAAGCTAGTGTAGATGCTATCCGAGGTGACATAAAAGCAGGACACTTGGACTTGAGAAAAGAACTGAGTGGATTTCGTGGAACAATCAAAGGAGATACAAAGAAAGTTTTCAGAAACTGAATGAGATCGGGGCAAAACTTAAGAACACAGGCTAGGATGGATCAAGTGGTGAACTGAGTGGCAGAGGTGGAGAAATGTTAATGCAAAGGATGCACTTCTTCAGGCACTGAAGAGTCAACACGATATTGCTGCTATATTAACAGATAAAATCTTGTTGGTTGTTTTTGTTGTTTTAGGAATCAGCTTTGGATCAAATTCAATTCTACTGCACCAAGATTGAAGAACTCAGTGTTTCCCATCCACTTGTGTCTGAAAGTATAGAGCGGTGCGCTCTTGATGCTGTTACATGTTTGTGTCAGGTATAACAACCTCAAACTCCTTGATAAAATATATGTGCAATTTTAGGATTTATTTTTTCCTGAACCAAAGCATTGTATTAAAAATGTTTTTTTTTTCTGAAAATACATTTCTATTTTCTTTTATCATCAAATAAATCTCTGACAAAAACATAAAGTTCACAAATAGTTGCCCTGAAATTGAACCCATTTGGCTTTAATGCCGAGAGAGGAACACTATTATTGTTGTTGTTTTGTTGTTTTTAATTTACAAACATACCATAAGTTAACCCTCCAAATATAATATTTTCAAGCATTTTTTTTTGAAAATCAAAGGAAGGTATGCATTCTTCAATGAACATCTTCACTGTGCTGTGTGGAAATTGCAACAACAATAAGATATCTTTGTTCAATGCTCTTTTTGGCTTTTATATAAAACATTTTTATATACAATTTTTGTACAATTATGTATAACTGAATACATTTCAAAACTCCACTTTAACAGCAGTTTTACCTTTAATGCAGACCAAGACAGAGGGCAGACTGTTCGAAAGAATGGAGATAAACTGGAAGTTTGGGAAACTCATCTCAGCCATTATTGAAAAGTCCTGGCCACAGGACTGCCAAGGACACTATGAGGAAGATGAAGAGGTCGTTCTCCAGCACTTTCTCTCCTGGACAGCTGCCAGAGAAATATTCAAAATATATGGTGAGTTAAATAATGAGTACAAAGTACAAAATAATGATTGATTCTAGAGATAGAAAATTTTGATGGCTTTGGGTATTTATTAGAGAATTGTTCGATTCTATTGTCAGGACTAGTATTGGCTGGACGCTGGCTAATTTTGATTGGCCCTATTAGAGGAGTTAAACTTAACTTTGCACTACGTGTGGTTAACTAAGGTGACCTCCATTTAGATCCAGTGCAGGGCTCCGAGGGGGTTACAACATGTCTTGGAGGTGAAGTACTGTATGTATTGCACCATATACCTGATTTGAGTGGCACTTTGCACAGAATACTACAGTACTTAGTTGTGTGCAACAAAACTCCCAGGGACTACCATGTGGGTGGCTCCGCCGCAGTAAAAACAGGGAGGACATGTCGGAGCAGATTAGCCTCTTATGCCAAAATGAGATGCTTTACAGATGGGGTACAGAGAAGAAATGTCCCCGCTAAGAGTGTACAGCTAGCATGTTTCCATGGCTCACATGGACACAGGTGGGTATCACAAAAGGTTACTTTATTAAATAAATGATTATTAAATGAATGATGATCAAAGGTAATTCTTGCAAATACATTTAAATTAAAATTGATAAACTCTGTATTGTAATTTGTGAATTTAGTTACTGCAGTATTGTCCACACCTGTAGCAAAAACCTGCAGCATTGTCATACAACTTTAGGACTATGTATGCCGTTTATTTGTTTCTTTCAGAATTTAGGATATTGGTGGTACATTTTAAACTTTTTAAATGTGTCCATACAAAGTGCATGTGATACATGCACTTCAGTTGTTAATAAAACTGTTGGATCGGTATGTTATCAGAAGTAGTTTTGGTATGGGTGTCAAACATGAAATATAGAGTAGAATATTTTAATCCTGTTTTTTCTAAAATTTATAGAAGCAACAGTTTAGCTATTCTCACGAACTCTGCCCATCTGCCCATTGTAGGTGCAGGAGAAAAGCTGTTTGAGAAGCTTTCTGAGGAAGCCAAGGAAAGACTTGCCATTGCCATATCATCCCTGAGTAACATCAAACATCAGCTGGTCAGTGGAGACATTAAAATCAGTCTTCTCAATGTCATCCGGCAGAGAAAACAAGCTTTCCTGGATCTGATGAAAATTGGTAACCTTCATCTGTATAAAAGGATTCCTGGCCTTAAGATATCAAATGTATTGAGATATTCACATTTTCCTTTACCTCTTAATTCAATGTCAACAGATGGACTCTCAGAGAATGACCAGTACAAAGATAATGCTAAAATGAGCAGGTTGCTGCAGTGCAGAGAGGATGAAGTGATGGCTGTTTATCACGAGAAGAGGCTGTTGGAGGTTTTTTTGACAATGTCCCAGAAACTTGACGAATTTATGACAGGTGCTGTGAAAAAAGAGAATGTTAAGATTTTTTTCAGATACAAACGTAAACAAAGTCTCACAACTGGTCATTTCCTGTCATTTCAGTTGATGTTGCCTGCATGGAAAACAAACAGTCTGTAAATGTTGAGTCTATGCCCCTGAACGATTTCATGGAGGTTCACCAATTTGAACAACTCACCTCAGACATGGCTGGTGTTGTCACCTACTTCAGCCTGGATGAATACATCAGGAAAATGGCGGAGGCCCTGCTCATCGTCAGCGACAGTTATATTTTTACTGTGTATTGGGAGAAACAAGCCAGACGCTGGGTCACTAAAAACCTTGGAGATGAAGACGATGATTCATATACACAGGAGAGACCAGAAGTCGTGGCATCACCAAATATAATACACGATGAAATTTTTAAACCTTGCTACGCAGATTACAAGGACATTTACACTCGCCTAAAGGATGGCAGTATAATACTCCAGGAAGTCAACGAGCTCTTGGGAGTCTTCAAAGGCCAGTATGAAAAGCTTGCACAGGAGCTGGACATCATGTGCAGACTTTATAAATCTGCTGAAAAACAGTGGATCCACAACAGGATTCACCAGATTGAACAGTATCATGAGCTCCATCTAGCTGGCGCTTCAGCACAGATTATCATAAAAGTCAAAGAGACGCTCTGTCTTCAAGGGGACTTTAGGGTTCTTGAAACTCTAACAAGAATAGTAAGTGAAAATATACCTGTACAGCATTTCTGTAACATAAATATAGGGCTACAATGGTCTTGAGTCATTCGGTGCACATAAATATAATTGACCTGGTTGTGCGGCAGAAGCAGAGAGCTTTTACACAGCACTGTTGCACTGAAATTGTACTGACAAAACTGTCTCAGCATCTGAAGTTCCTAAACAGTTAAAAGCATTTTTTATAAAGATTTTAAGGCCTGGAAATCCTGCTCCCACCCCAAACATTTAGTGTTAATGTTTTTCAGGTGTGGTTAATGTTAACACTTATAAAGCATCTGGTACATACACTAATGACATAAACACAAAACACATACACTAATGACCTTTGCTTTTTCTTCTATTAGAGTCATGCTGACTTTGAAACTGAGCAACTCAATCGCATAGACAATGACTTGATGCAGGCGAAAAAAGTTCTGGTGGACATCACTGAGCCACGCAGACTTTGTCTGCAGGAACTGACAGCCAGTGGACACTTTATAAAATGGGTCAAGGAAGCGTGTCAACATGTTTTTGTGTTTTTGTTCTCAACAAAAAAATATACTCAGTACAACACATGGGTTGTACGTGTAATCGAAGCCAGTGAGCAATGCATTTTCAAAGGTAATGATAGTAATATTTACAGTAAAAATACTGGATGAATCCAGCTGAAATACAGAACGTATCAACATTATAATTATGTGTGTGTGTATAAAATGTGTGTTCGTTTAGATCTAAATCTTGATATATAAATGTACCTTTATTTCATATGGATATATGAATATATGATGTGTATTTTAACATATATGTATATATAAAATTATATCTTTTTTTTTTACACCTTTTGGGAATTGATTTTTATAATGCCCAGTTCTACCCAAAAGCTTTGGCATTATTGAAGTTTCATTATATCCCTTTTTGTTTTAGACATCAGTGAGTTGAAGGTATTTGTGGATTTGGCATCCATCTCTGCGGGAGAGAATGACATGGATGTGGCTCGTGTTGCATGTTTCCACGATGCTGTCCTTGGCTACTCTTCAATGCTTTATGAGCTGAAATCAGATTCTGGTTTTACAATCTTCAAAGAGGTAGTGCAGAAGCTCTGGAAAGCTCTGGAAAATGACAGTAACCTACCGAAAAAACTGGTAAGAGGACTCCTCATTAGCTCTAAATCTAGGTTGCCTGTATACAGTAATAGCTTCAAATGAATAAGCACCACACATGTATGTCCATACTATTCATCAAAGGGCCTTGTGGCTGCAGGTTTTTGTTCCAACCAACCAAGAGCACATAGTTTGACCAATCAGTTGTCTGAAGACTGAGACCAGTTGATTAAACCTGTCAACTCAGGTGTGCTACTGCTTGGTTGGAACAAAAACCTGAAGCCGCTGTGGCTTCAGGCCTTTTGTCTAACAGTTTGGCCACCTCTGCACTAGATCATGAGCAATTAAAATAAAAAAAATAAGTACGGTACAATTCTACAGCGTATAGTAACCAGATACTATACAAATGTATTCATGATCTACCATAGAGCTACATGCAATTAATCAGTACCCATACATGTAATGTGTATAGGTATGGTCAGTTAATATTAGTAAATATATCAGTAGATCAATTTAGTTACCAAGCCAAAAAAGTCTAGGCACCCTGATCTACCGGATTATCCAGAAAATATCTGTGATATACTTATCACAACACTCACACACAAAAATAATTAGAATGCATGCAAGTTTTTTTTTTAAATTGGGCTGCAAAGTTCAAATTCATGTGATTAAAGTTGCAGTCTGCTCAAAGTAGTTGCTGCATGCTCCAGTAGAGCACTCTTAGCACTCCTACTCACACATCGCCGTTTACCAGTAAATGAAGAAGAGTAACAAGCTATGCAGTCTTTCAGGTGGTTAAATACAACAGGCATTTAAAAAATAGTACTTCAGGTTTATAACACACTACTTTTTGCGCTGTAATATTGGCAGATTATTAATCTCTGTGCAAAGGTGCTTATTAGTAACTTGTTAAAAAGTCTTTAGCAGACCCAGGTGCTTGTTTTTATTTTAGTGTTAGTTGGAAAGCTAGAAATCTGTCCTGGGCATTTTATAGTTCAGTGGTTTTATGTACTTTACCAAAAAGACACAATGTTTCTGCCACAAAGCCTGGTTGAATCCTTTTTTTAAAATTTAAAATCCTTGTGAATAAGGCAGTATAATGGTGTGTTCTGCAGTTTATTTAGTTAATTCTAATCTTAATTATTTGTGCCTAATGATGATAAGCAAGTTCAAGACTCGTATTTTCCCTTGCAGAAGGACAGTGCTCGTCATTTGGAATGGTTAAGGACTGTAAAGGACAGCCATGGGTCAGTGGAGCTCTCATCTCTTTCATTAGCTACAGCTATAAACAACAAGGGCATCTATGTGATCAGTGCCCATGATGTAAAAATGGTAAATGACACAAATAAAGTTAAGTCCACTTCTTTTGTCCAGTAGGAGCAGATTGTCCATAAATAAGTGTTTTTACGTTTTCCTCATAGTTGAGACTTGATACTGTTGTGAGGCTGCAAATTTCTGAGAAGGATGATGAAGGTACGCAGACCCGCTGGTATTCCCTGGAGGACCTGCGGGAGCTGCAGAATAAACTGATGCTGATGTCTGGGAAAGGGGAACATGGGCAGCATGAAGTTGATCACTTTGCAGAGGTAAACCAAAGCCAAAGTCCTTATACTTCATTGCCATGAAGAAATAAATTGTTACTCAATTATTACAAGTTTTCACTGTATCACAGTTAAGTTTTCTTCTTTTAGGTTTTTGCCAATGTTCAGAGATTGGCTGAGGCATTTATTGCCCTTCATGTTGCTGGAAATCCTCTCTTCAGAAACTGGGAAGCTCATATCAGATGCTGTTTAAGCACCAATGAACCTGGCATAATGATGGAGTTTAACTTGAATAGTGTTGTCAGTACTGTGATTGTGGATGGCAGCATAGAGGAGCACCTTCCTGAGCTCTGTAGAAAAATGGAAAAATGCCTGGAATACTGGATGGCTTTTGTCAACAAGCAGAGATCCCAGTTTTACTATTTAAACTACTACACAGACGAACAGATAATTTACCTGTGCAGCAGGCTTACTCAGCAAAACTTGACAAGTGTGAATGACCAGGTTCTGATGATGCTCTCTTTTGTCAAGCAAAACTGCACAGTCTCAGACCTGAGGGAAGTATGGCATGCACTCCAGTATAAAATTCTCACAGAGCCACAAGATAAAAATGAGGACATTGAGTTTCAGACTTTTGTTGTGTTGCCAAGTCATGATGCAGAAGACCTAGAGTTCACCAGTCTGTTTGATGGTGCACAAAGTATTGTGGAACGAAGAAACACTACCCAAAAGTTTGATCTCATTTGGAATGGTTACAGGAAAGATATGCAAAACTTTCTTCCCCAAATTCTTGACATGAGAACTCTTGGACAACTATTGGAGTTACTAGCTAGCAGAGAAATGAAAGACAGTAAAGAAGACAGTTCTGAAGGATTCAGAAGAAACTTCACTCAGAGGCAGCTACCTAAACGCTTGGTGACAGGAAATCCTAACCTCATAATTTGTCCGCAAGATGAAGTCCTAACATCTTGCATCTCCATTTACATGAGTAGCAACGAGGAATCACTTCCCACCTACGATGAGGTACTTCTTTGCAACTCCTCAACATCATATGAGCAGGTGGAGCTCTTTCTCAGGCGTTGTCTCTGTCCAGGTTACAAAGGAGAGAAAATATATACACTGCTGTATGGTGAGCTACTCTCCTATGATGTGAGCTATAAGCTTGAAACCTTCTTCCAGAGAATTAAATTGCAGAGCAGACCCGACTACAGATTAGTGATCATCTGCAGCTCAGAAAGAGAACATGCCTACCTGCCATCAGTATTCAGCCAGTACAGATTGCACATGGTTCCGCAGGAGCCAATGGAAAGAATCCAGAAATACCTCTGTAAGCACTACACCGTCCCAGCGCATATATGTAGTGCTGCTGCTGCGTTCAAAGACCGCCTTCGTGTTGGTATCATCTCTTCCAAAAGGGCAGGTGTTGGTATGTATTTTTTCAAACTTGTTTAAATTGATTTGATGAAATCAATTATCCGGTCTATGTCCTGACTGTTAATTGCCATCATGACTGCTTTTGTTTAAAAAAAATCCAGGTAAATCACTTTACATCAAGAGACTGTATTCAAAACTGAAGGAATCAACCAAAAAACCTTCTCTGTTGAAATGCATTCGCCTGATTGAACCCAAGGTTGATGAAAATGATATTCTTCAGTCTCTTTTGGAAACCACAAAGAGTAAAGAACTCACGATCTTCCATTTTGATGTCACTTCATCGGTAGCTATGGATTCAGTATTAACATTAACATAACACATACAGTAAATCTTGTTAGATAATTTCTTAACATCCTATTTTGAAATACACTTTCCTCTTCTTGTTTTTGAAAAAGGTTCAGAAAGGCCTCCATGAGTTTCTTTTCAAGTTGCTGGTTCTGGGCTATTTGATGGATTGTGAAGGAAAGATGTGGAAATGCAATCCCAAACATCTGTATGTGGTAGAGATTTTAGTACCAACAGTTAAAGCAAACATATCACTGCAGGTATAAAGTCAGATGAGATTTTAAATCCAAAGTCACATGTTTTATCTATGTTGAACTGTTGCTGACATCAGTGTGTCCCTCCCTTGCTGTAGGGTCAAACTGCCAACAACACATTCATATATGTGTTCCCGAACATCACTTGTCAACCTCCCAAAGATGTTCTAATGCTAGAGATGAAGAAGCAAGAAGATCCCTCCAGTGTAAACGCTGATGACCCATTAATGGATGATAAGGAATTTAAAAGCGCTGCTTTTCAGAGGCCCTATCAGTATCTCACACGGTTTCACAACGGCATCAATCTTGATGGATTCACATATAAGGATGTTGAAGGATCTCATGTCCAATGCCTTCAGATGTTGCTTGTGTACTGTGGCATCATGGACCCATCCTGGGCAGAACTGAGAAATTTTGCATGGTTTCTTAACATTCAGCTACAAGATTGTGAGGGATCTGTTTTTTGTGATGCAGCTTTCACTGGAGACACATTAGCTGGGTTCAAAACCTTTGTGGTGGACTTCATGATTCTAATGGCTAAGGATTTTGCCACTCCATCACTCAGTATCTCTGACCAAAGTCCTGGCAGGACGCAAGTAGACTTGACTGGTGTTAAAGATGAAGACCTGGCCCCTTTTCTGATTAGAAAGAGATGGGAAACTGAGCCACATCCATACATCTTCTTCAATGATGACCATGTGTCAATGACTTTCATTGGTTTCCATCTACAGGTTAATGAAAAAGATGTTGATGCAATTCACCCCACAAGTGGAAAAGTGATCAGAAAGAAAATCATGACAAGACAGTTGTATGAAGGCCTTCAGCTACAAAGAGTCCCTTTCAACATTGATTTTGATCAGTTGACCAGAGCTGAGAAAATTGAGCGAATTTGCAATGTTCTTGGAATTCAGTGGCCTCTTGATCCTGATGAAACATATGAACTAACAACTGACAACATACTGAAAATGCTCGCCATCCATATGCGATTTAGGTGTGGCATCCCAGTCATTATCATGGGCGAAACAGGTTGTGGTAAGACTAGACTGATCAAATTCCTTTGTGAACTGCGAAGGAGTGGAGTGGCAACTGAAAACATGAAGCTGGTAAAGGTCCACGGAGGGACATCGTCAGAGATGATTTACTCCAAAATAAGAGAAGCAGAAGTCATGGCTTCTATCAACAAAACAGACTATGGATTTGACTCTGTTCTCTTTTTTGATGAGGCCAACACAACCGAGGCCATTAGCAGTATAAAGGAAGTCCTGTGTGACAATACAGTGAAGGGAGACAGTTTGACCTCCATGTGTGGACTGCAGATTATTGCAGCATGCAACCCTTATCGGAAGCATACAGATGAGATGATCAAGAGGTTAGAATCAGCTGGTCTGGGCTACAGAGTACGGGCTGAAGAAACTGATGAAAAACTGGGTTCTATCCCTCTACGTCAGTTGGTGTATCGAGTTCAAGCCTTGCCGCCGAGCATGATCCCTCTGGTTTGGGACTTTGGACAGTTAAATGATCAAACAGAGAAAATATACATCCAACAGATTGTCCAAAGAGTAACTGAAAACAAAGCAATTGAGCAAAACTACATGAAATGGATCACTAACGTTCTTTCAGCTTCCCAGAGGTTCATGAGAACAAGAAAGGATGAATGCAGTTTTGTAAGTCTGAGAGATGTTGAGCGCTGCATGCAGGCATTTGTTTGGTTCTACGAAAACCATGTTATGCTTTTTTCTGAGCTGAAGGAACATGAGAACAAGCAAAAAAAAAAGGAACGGTACCAGAGGGAGGCCAGAGACCCAGTTATCTGGTCTCTAGTCATGGCTATTGGGGTGTGCTACCATGCCTGCCTTGAAGATAAAGATAAATACAGACAAGAAATCAGCGATCACCTACCACCATCGTACGACTCAGGAAAGGTACAGCAGGAAATTGCAGTCATGCAAGACTTACTTTTAAGTGGTGTACCAATGGGAGATACCATTGCAAGAAATGGTGCCCTAAAAGAGAATGTCTTTATGATGGTTCTCTGCATTGAGCTAAGAATCCCTCTTTTTCTTGTTGGAAAACCTGGAAGTTCCAAATCTCTGTCAAAAACCCTGGTGGCAGATGCAATGAAGGGGCAAGCTGCTCATTCTGATCTCTACAAAAAGCTGAAACAGATCCACTTGGTGTCCTTCCAGTGCAGTCCTCACTCTACCCCAGAAGGTATCATTAATACATTCAAGCAATGTGGACGCTTTCAGGAAGGAAAGAACTTGAATGAATACATTTCAGTAGTGGTTCTTGATGAGATTGGCCTTGCTGAAGACTCTCCAAAGATGCCACTGAAAACCCTTCACCCACTGTTAGAGGAGGGATGCATTGATGATGAGCCTCTACCACACAAAAAAGTTGGTTTTATTGGCATCTCAAACTGGGCTTTAGACCCAGCAAAGATGAACAGAGGGATTTTTGTGTCCCGAGGTGATCCTGATGAAAGAGAACTTATTAAAAGCGCTAAAGGCATATGTTCATCCGATGCAGTGGTTTTGGAAAAGGTCAGGGATGTCTTCAAGCCTTTTGCAAAAGCATACTTAAACATCTGCCATGAGCAAGGAAAAGGCTTTTTTGGACTTCGTGACTTCTACAGCCTGATCAAGATGCTCTTTGCTGTTGCCAAGGTAACCCAGCAGAAGCCCACACCGGAGGAAACTATAAAGGCAGTGTTGAGAAACTTCAGTGGCAGGGATGATGTAGATGCAGTCTCATTGTTTACTGAAAGACTACAGATTTCACCAAATCTGGAGAACATCAATGCCATTGAGTTTGTAAGAGAAAACATTCAGTCGATTGGACAGGAAGAGGAATGTCGATACTTGCTGGTGCTAACCAAAAACTTTGCAGCACTGCAGATCCTTCAGCAAACCTTCTTTTCAGAAAGAAATCAGCCAGAAATCATATTTGGGTCCAGCTTTCCAAAAGACCAAGAATATACCCAAATTTGCCGCAACATCAATAGAGTAAAGATTTGCATGGAGACAGGTCAAACAGTTGTGCTTCTGAACTTGCAAAACCTTTATGAAAGTCTGTACGATGCACTCAACCAATACTATGTCTACTTGGGTGGACAAAAATATGTGGACCTTGGGCTGGGAACCCACCGTGTGAAATGCAGGGTGCACAATGACTTTCGTCTGATCGTCATTGAGGAAAAAGAGATAGTGTACAGACAATTCCCAATACCTCTCATCAACAGGCTGGAGAAGCACTATCTGGACATTCACACTGTCCTTACAGCTGATCAGAAGAGGATGGTAGTAGAACTAGAGAGATGGGTAAAACTGTTTGTGACCCTCGGCAGTCAAAACTTAGCAATGGCTTCTACCTACAAGTATCAGCCACCAGATGTCTTCATTGGCTATCACTCAGACACATGTGCTTCTGTGATTCTTCAAGTAATTGAGAAAGAGAAGGCTAGGTTGGAAATCTCAGATCCAGACAAGCGAGCACTTGATGAAGCTAAATTGGTCCTCCTCAAATGTGCCACACCAGACTCAGTGGTACGACTGGACTGCACAGACCTTCCCAAAGTGGAAAGTGAAAACCTGGCCAATGTGTACTTTGAAAAGCAGAAAACCAGTTGTTTTGCTGACTACCTACGTGCTGAAACAGAGCGGGATGTCCAAGGATTCCCATCCTTCACAGAGGTAACAGTTACATTCATTTATGTTGTAGTTAAGCATTTGTAATGTCTATAACTAATGACAATTTTCCGTTACAGGTGACAACGTTCTCAAGACTTTTGACAACAGCTGACCTGAAACCATTGGAACAAATGTTTCTAAATGTTGAGCTGCTTTCACTGCAGCAGTTTGACACTGAGCACTCCTTTCTAAAGAAGATCAGGTTTGTTAATGGCCCAATGATCTCAAATGTTTTAGTACTAATAACTGTTTGTCTAAAAACTACATTTTTGATTTTTGGAAGGACCTTCCTGACCACTGAAAAGGAGAAACCGAGGCTGGGTCACTATAAAAAAATCCTCATCATTCAGTGTGATTTTGACGAAACCACTCACAGTGCAAATCTGATTGCATCTGCAAAGTAGGTGTAAAACTTAATTAGTATTGGGTATGCATCAAAAGTATTGCTCTTTTTCTTATGTTTGGCTTTTCACCTGTAGGTATTCCTCCATAAATGAAATCAACAAAATAATTCAGGAGGGAAAAAGAAATGGTGCATTCTTGTTCTTTATCACAAGACTCCCAAGAATGGAAGGAGGAACTTCTTACGTTGGCTTTCACGGGGGTAGGAATTACAAAGTTCTCATATTACTTCAGTAAATTGTTTAGCACAGTTAGGATACACAATCAAACTGTGTCGTGTTGATACACACAGGTCGCTGGAGATCTGTTCACATCGATGATCTCAGACTATCAAAAGACATTGTCTCTGACATCAAAGCTTTGCAAAACATGACAATCAGTCAAATGTTTGAGACAAAGATCTGCCAGCCTGATGGTGAGGTGTTTTTTTTTAAATTTATCGTCACTTAAAAGAAATTTGTAATTTTGTTCGTTTATTTAGTCCTCACCTTGATTCCCAGTGTTTTGAAGTCACAATTTATTCTGTTACAGCTACTGAAGAGGGTGACATGTATATTGAGACAGAAGAAATGGAGGTAGAAGAAAGTGTAAGTGCATTCATTCCTAACGTTTTAAGTTATATAACCGAATGAAACCTTGAGCTCCCCTGCAGGAAATGCTATAAACTCAATTTTATGCCTTAATGAATTAAAAATTAATTAGGGCATTACTTAAAAATAATTTTGTAGTTGTTTTTGTTAGAACGTGCACACTCTACCTGTTTGTGTTTAGGACTGTTGGTAATTTCATGCCACTGTTTATTCAGTGAAGTTACAGTCGTTAAATGGGAGACTTTTGTTCATTTCCATTGTCTGGGCTACTCTGTTCTCAAAGTGTATCTAACAAAAAATATTGTAAGCTAAAAATCACCCTTGCATTCAGTACCTTTATTGGCATTCCTAAAAACAGAACTTGCCAAACACAATTTGCTGAAAATAATAACAAGTTGCGTTTGGTATTTGACTACTGTATCTTTGTAAAACAGGGCTTGGAAAATTTGTTGGACACTACAGCTTTGTTGCGCAGCTGTGTACAGAGTGCAGTGGGAATGTTGAGAGACAGAGTGGACAGTGGCCTCCGAAGCACTCAGAGGGTGGAAATCCTGCTGACTCTCCTTAGTGATGACGACAGCATAAACGGTGCCATGATCATTTCTTTCATTGATAAAACTTTATTTTAGAATTTAGAATTTCTTCTTTGCTTATTATTTATTCAATTTTTTTTTGTAGGTGAATTTCTGCAGTACATGAAGAAACATCTTTACTCACTGCTTGCAAATCATGAAAACAACTCCTTTAAGACCAATTGGGTGATTAAGGAAGCCTCAAACATTGATGCACTGCAAGAAGGAGGCACCTTTAGGTATGGGCTGTAGCGTCACTTGGCTTACTTTTTGCAAATATATAAAAATAAATAACTGGTTTTGTATTGTTTATTGGTGGCTTACATCAGGATTATTTGTAATTCATTCTTTATAAGCAGGGTATTTTACTGAAATGAAGCTATGGCTTTTTCCCTTTTTACAAACAAAACCCTCAAAATTGTACTGTGTACTACTGGCTGATTAAACCTTGAGTCAAAAGCACTTGGCAATATCATAATTTTCTGATGCTTCCGTGCATCCCTAGTTATTACATAAAAATAAATAATAATAATAATAGGTAAGTGATAGTTGTCACATGTTTTTTTCTGACAGGCACACTCTGTGGAAGCGCATTCAAGCTGTTGTCATTCCACTTATGGCCCAACTGGTGTCAGTCATTGATCGTGATCATAACTTGGATATCTTGCTTGATAGCAATTGTGGTGACTCTCTCAAGAGGCTGTGGTTGGATCTTTTTAGCCATGACAAGTTTTTGGAAATCCCCCAGATAAAGGTTGACAACAAGTAAGTGATAATGTGAAGTTAAAGTAAAAACTTTAGAAAATGTTTTATGTTTTTGTTTTAGCAAATATCATTTCACTGACTCTTTGCACAGCAGTGAAACAAAAACAATCCTTGTACAAAACTACATTGCACAAGACAAGAACTTGAGCTGCAGCATGCCGTTCAGCTGGAGGATCATGGATTTCCTTGAGGAGCTCTGGGTTCATACTCTTCAACATGAAGGTAAAGTAGCTGTTATTAAGTACTCCTAAAAGTCCACCTTACAGTGACATTGTTAAGTGGTCTTTGATTTAAAATCTGACAAATTATTTTATTCTAGGCCACACCCAAAAAGATTTTGTGGGTTTTTTTTGGAAAACACCACTTGGCCGGTACATTGCAAAAGCCAACCCAGAGATGCAGATAGAGTATTTTCAACGCTACCTTCAGGATTTCATCTCAATGACCATGAACGTGACATGTCAAGGAGATGTTCAGGTTTGTTTTTTTTTTTTCACTGTGAAGTCTCAGCACACTGTACTATGAAACCACATCAATTAACACGATCTCTGCTCCTGTAGCTCCTGCGTTGTGCTTTAAACTGCTGTGTCAATGAGGTGTGGTCAAAGCTCAATGAAAAAGAAACAATAATATCTCTTCCATGGGTCCATGTGGCTTATCATGAGTTCAAAAACAGGCTTCAGAATCTTTCCAGAATGATCTGCATTGAGCCTGATGTAACCAGTGAGCTCTTGAAGAATCCCTATGTCCTGAATGGGGTTGAAATGGTGGGCCTTGAAGACCTTTACTGTATTTTCAGTTGTTCCTTCAATTTAAATTGTATTTTTATTTGGATACATTTTTAAGTGACCTGTAACATTAACATATATTATTATATTTCTGTTCTCTAGGTGCTGGACGTGTTCACTGCTTTTGCATGTGTAGAGTACCTTGAGCCAGTGGCCCTAAACACAGAGGCCGAAAGGCAAAATTGGCTTAGGAAGGTCAAAAAACTCCAGGTCCCTATTGAGTTGATCTGCTCAGAGGACAGTGTAAAAGAATATGGACAAAGAAGCAAAGAGATTGTGTACCGGGTCCAGTAAGTAAATCAATTTTAAATGTAAAAGTTAGTGTTATAGTTAAGCGATAAAATTGAACAATTGATTCTTCAATTTAATTTTTGTTTTCTCTTCATAGAGCTGGATGGAATCGTTTATTTTCTATGTCACTGTTTGTTGAGAACATGTTCAACATCGATGACACAGAGAATAAACTCATTCCTTTAGTATTGGAACATACAAAAACACTGGGCCAGGTGGTAAAAAATTTACTTATCTACATTTTTTCTAATTATTTTAATATAAAACTAATGATGATGGATATATTTTTGCATTTTTCTCAAGATCCTGGAAAAAACTTCAGACCTGAAAACCCAACAGTCATTTGAGGAAGTTATACGTTTACTGAAAATGTGTAAAGATGAAGCTGTTGAACGGATCTTCAGGTAAGAATTAAATTTAAATATTGTCTGGCTTTTCTAATCTCTTCAATCTCTGATTTTCGATCTATTGTTTATGTTCTTCTCAGGTTTGGCCTTAAACTGTGTACAGTCTGTATGGGAGACCCTCAGGACCCACTCTGCCTGCCATGTGAACACGTATATTGTGTTGCCTGTATCAGGCAGTGGTTGGTCCCGGGTCAGATGTACTGTCCATTCTGCATGCAACCAGTTGAAGATGACTTCCCAATTGTTCCGTCAGATGACATGAGGTAAGGTTTTGCATCAAATTTGAATAAAAATGCCTTTTATGCTCATCAGTTTTACTAGGTTTTGACAAAAGCTGAATCTGGGTCTGCATCAATGCAACTTTATTTGAAGTATCCTTCTGTATTTGTGCTGATTGACAGTCGTGTTGCACCTTTGTGCCTCTTAGTGCCTATCAGTGGAATTATAATAAGCCTCCATACAGACAGACTATAGTTAGGTTAGTGCAGTGATCTACTTGCTGTAGGTCAAGTAAGCTAACCAATGTGTCCCTGTGTAGGCCCGTTTTGACTTAACAACTTGGAAAAAATAGACAGTGTAAATATATATATAAATAAATTTATGTAAATATAGGTATATATATTTACATGAAATCTACACCTTTTGTACTCTGTAGGGTTCTTTTCAAACGACATGCTCGATTTAGGAAGCAGTGCAACACCTTCTTCATAGACCTGGTGTCTAATATGTGCTTCAAGGACAACTCTCCTCCCTCTTCGGCTGTCATACATGACTTACTATCCTTTCTCCTGGTGGAAACCAACACAGTTCCAAATCACAAGGGTATGTCACACTTGTGTGTGCACTCATGTATGTGCCTGTTCTTTCACTATTATATTCTTCACGTTTCTTCCCTTCAGGTAACACACATGTGCGGACCAAGATGCTCTCTCCTTTTGATGAATGCATGGATAAAAATCCTGTGGTCCGATCAGTTGTGTTAAAACTGCTGCTGAAATACAGGTGCGTTGCACTGGGTTCACATGAACACATCTTTACACATTTTGTAAATGTTCACTTAAGTTAATGGATGGTCTTCTCTTTGAAGCTTTGAAAAGGTTAAGGATTATCTGCAGGTGCATCTCAAGGCTTTAGAGAAGAGCCAAATCTTGGAAGGAACAAACAAAATTGAACTGTACTGTTTGTACATTAACTGCCTCGAGGTATGCAGTTATTGACAATTCACACCTTGATTAAATTCCATGCATGATTGTTTTTCTTTTATTATTATTTTTTTTTCTTCAAATTTTTAAAAATCAATTTTCTAGGACTCCATGTTTGAGATGTTACACTTCAGGACCACTGCACAGCAGCAGAAATGTCTCCAAGAAGAGAGTTCCTTTCTGACTGACTACTTACAATCAAGAAGTCACTCTGCTGAAACGGTCACTGTAGAGTATCTTCAGCAAGTGGCCAGAGTGCGTATGGACCTGGATATGGCTGCTGGCCTCATAACAGAGAACATGAGATCTACTGGTGGGTCATTCGAAATCTCCTATGTGCATGCAAGATTTTCATATTAAAATGATTTCAATAAATGTGTTTTCAAATTACCTTTTTTAACCTTTAACCCAGATTCGAGAAAAGGGGAGCAAAGTGTGACTACAGCATTCATGACCAGTGTGGTGAACTTATGTAGGCAGAGTGAAAATGACTGGTACCGTGTCTACTTGATACGTAAGATCTCAAGCCAATATGGAGTAGAGTTTGCCCTGAAACTCCTCAGAGACAAGGAAATGAGCTGGCTCTTTCCTAAGGAAGCATTGCTAAAGGTTTCTAAATTAATAGTCTCAATTTCATTCGTTATGGGTCTAATAAGAAAATGGTGAAATTCTTGCGTATTGGTAATTAAACTTTCATTTTCTCAGCGAGAAGTAGGCCCTTCAATAGACCAGTTTCTAGTGTGTGGAGAAGACTACAAGGCTTTCAGGAATGCTATAACAACTGTGATGCTGCGAGGCCAATTTGATCAACTAGATGAGACTTATAAGGTAACGATGTCTGTCTTTTTTTTTTCAATTTACCCTTGTGTTTCAAAACTCTGTATTTATATTTGCTTGTTGTTCATGCAGGGGTGCAGAACTTCTCCGCAGTTAAAAACAGTTTATCTCCTGTTGGCACTGTACAGAGAGGTCACCACTCTTTACAGAGAAGCTGATGTGAGCCTTCATCCAAAGCCTGAGGTTGGTCCAAGACCAAGTGATCTATCACAGAGCATTTTACAACTTATGTTAAGGGAAATGTTTGCAGTAGAGTATAGTAATACAACACTTCTCTTTAGCTGGTGCCAGAGGCTATGAGGGTTGTAACCGTTTCCTATATCTGTGTACGTTCTCAGTCATCCAGTTGATCTTATCCAAAAATAGTTACATCGAGGGCAACTGGAAGGAGTAGGTTTCTTGGGTAGGTTTCTTTCAAGAAACTGTCCAATTGCCCTCAATGTAATTATTTTTGGACATGATCTACCTACTATTCTTTTATAGTAATTTAATCCTCCCTGTATACGAGACCTGTAAACAACATAGTGATTAGGAAGATAAACTAATGGATGGATTTTGTCTTTGTGACTACAGCTCATTGAAGAACTGATACAAAACATTGACAAATTCCTGGGCACCCAAATGGTGAAAACTTTTGCCAAGGCTCTCCTGACCAATCAGCTTGGGCCGTTGACCCTAGGTCCTCGCTTTTCCAGTTCCAAGTGTGTGTTGTTGGACTTGACCTTTCACCTGGCTGCTGTCCTCATTAGTGGGAACCAAGGGATCCTGGTTCCCCTCCAACAACTGGCTCATGCACCTGCCAACATGCAGGTATAGACAACACCAGCCACTCTTAACATTTGTGTGATATGTTTACATTTTTAATGAGCTTGAATGTCTGTTTGTGGGGTAACAGAAAAAGATTACTGGTTTGAAATTCTAGTGGTAACTGCGGTTTCCTCAAATTAGGGAAAAGTTTAACTGTTCATTCTAAATGAACTATAGGTGTGAATGTCAGTGTGAATGGATATTTATTGACTGTTTGTCTGTTTGTGTTGTTGTGTAGGCTGCCTTTTTACCCACAATGCCTGAGGACATGTTAGCAGTGGCCCAACAAGTAATAAAAGTAGTAGAAGGACGAGTGACGTGGTACCGTAAGTAATCGGCAGAATAATTGTTTATGTAAATATGAATTATGTCATGGCAAAAACCATGGAAAACATACTGATGACATTTTTTTTTTGAAAAACTTTATGTAGTTTGTCCAAACGGCCACTACTGCATCATTGGAGAGGTATGTAATAACAGGCGTACTTTTAAAACTGTTTTTGTCTGGCATTTACAGTAGTTTTTTTTTTTAATTATAAATTGTGATATTTCTTTATTTTCCATTTTTTAGTGTGGCATGCCCATGGAAACCAGTTTGTGTTTGGACTGTAAGGCACAGATTGGGGGACATGGTCACAAGTCTGTGCCTAACTTTCATGCTGCTCAAATTGGGTAAGAATAAAGCATTTATGGAGAAAAATGCATTGAAAATATGGGTTTAAAGAAATAGGTTTTACGTTGTTTGTATTTAATGGTGCGTCATCATCTGACAGAAGGGACCGTACCGAGAGTGGGCACATCCTTGGATCTCCAACTCGTAGAGGCAGCCCAGATATGTTGGACACCAAGAGCATGTCGCCTGTTCCTTTTAATGTGGTTCGCATGCTGACCCACATGGCCATGCTGTTTGGTACCTACAGTCAACCAGAGGTAGACATGTTCTTATTTTAATTCTTCAAAAAGGTGGATTTTAATGTTATTAAAAATCTTACTTCAGTAAGCCTCCTGTTTACCAAACTATTATTAAACTGTATTTCCGTGTGCTTTTGTACAAAAGACATCATTGTGATTCATTTTGATCATGTAATTAATTTATTAATTACTTAATTAATTCAAAGACACATTGTGATTAATCAGATTAAAAGCATTTAGTCATTTGACAGCCTTATTTGAGATTAATAATAAATCCTCCATAAAAACCACTGTTGTGATCTGATGTTTTGTTGTAATTAATCCGTCCCATGTTCACTTTTCCAGTCAATCTCAGCCATCATCAAGCCTAGAGTCAATGACCCAGCACCTTTTCTACTTGCACACTTGCAAGAAGACCTAAAATATCTCATCACATCACTTGGCAAAGGCACAGATGAAACTGTCAGCACTGTTCACCTGCTAATCAACAGCCTGATGGAACGTCACCAACAGCAATGTAAGGAAAAACATGTAACCTGATTGAGAAATGGCTGCTCTATGTCATCTTCCATTGTTATTCTGAATTGTATCCGACTCTATGTTTTATTCCAATGAATTTAGGTTTTGTTTTTTTTTTTCAAAATTCCAACCTTATTGTTCTTCAAGTTGAACACATAGGTGGATATCTGGCTTTTTAAATGGATGTAATAATAAAACAGAATAGAATTTGCCTGTGGTAGAAGTCTTAAATTTGTTTTTTGCTGTTAAATTGTCTGATCTCTTCTTTAGGGCCTGCTCCATATGACAATCAACTTTCGACCAAAGAGAAAAGAAATGGATGGGAGATGGAAATTAGCAATGCTGTAATTGTACCTGAACTAACGGTATGACTGTTTTTAGTTTATTTTGACAAAGGTAAAATTAATGTAGTTAAAAACAAAGTATTTTTGCATTAACTGTGCTATTATGTTTTTTATTCCTAGGACTTGGATAGGAAGTTAAAGGAGGCAAATACATTCATTCACTCTGACGCTCGCATTTCTGCAAATCCCATCATGAAGCTCGTCTTTGGAGATCCTTGTTTATTCTTGGCCTCACTTCCCAAAAACTCTCTGCTCCATGGTTCTGCTGTGTGGAGCTGCAGAGAGAAAATCTCTCTTCGCACACTCTTCGCGTTGTGGAGCAGAACAATGGCAAAGACACGCTGCCTGTTCTCTGGAGATTTCTACACAAGGTAAGACAGATTGCAGAGCTTAAAAAAAATGTTTTTTTAAATAAATTTGAGTAAAATGGATTTCAAAGTGGAAACATACGTTCATACATGTGTGTCTTAGAGGAAAAACTAAACTAACCTGATTTAAACTGAATTTTCTTGTATATTAATTACATGATAAATTATTAAATTCATTACCATGGCTATTTGAATGTGTTTAGTCAGTGTTGCTCCTGCAACTGGTGGTGCTAAGTCTCCCTCTAGTGGTACGTAGGGGAACTAGATTTCTTATAATCAGCATTTGCTGTAATATATCTCTTTTTTGTGTTTTATTTCTAATATGCTCATGGTGACCATTAATAAGTCAGTTGTGTTTCTTTTTCAGGAAGCTGAGCTTTGCCTTGTGAAGCACCTTCCCAACATTCTTACACTGCAGAGGGATCTTGTCAAGAAGTTTCAGAACATTACTGAGCTGAATTTTAGGACCATTGCTGATTTTCTCAACAGTCCAAGAGCAGGTAATGGAACAACATTTTACATTAAAATAGTGATGCTGCTCCTCAACTCAGTTTTTTTTGAAGGATGATGTAGTTAGGTCAAGTCTCTTCATACTGATTGCCTTTTTTGCCTTTTTTAATGAGACAGAAATACACTTTTCATTAGTTTCAGGTTTTCCTTTACCTCAAAATTAGCAGCCTGGGGGCTTGTTGGTATTAGTGGCTGAACCACTGCACAATTTTGTCCTCAGTTGATCTGAGTGCAAATGTGTTGTTTCTTTACTTGCAGTTTCTCTGAACTCCTGGTATGAAAAGTACATCAAAATCTTCCTGAACACCTGGAATCAACTCAGAGTGTCTTTGGCAACCAATGGTACACACAGACCAGATGACACACACTATTTTCTGTATATATATATAATTGAAGTTTACTGAAATCTGGATTAAATCACTGTTGTCCAGGTGAGGTGAAGATCCCTGCTGAATTCTGTGAAAAGGATCTGGACTACAACAGTACCTTCAGGGTGTTGTTACCACAGCGTCACGGCCCGGGCCTGTGCTCTACAGCCCTCGTTAGCTACCTCATTGCCCTGCACAATGGACTGGTCAACTGTGTAGATGAATACAGCCCGGCTACACAGACCAGGGAGACCAGGTGGGGGCGCTCATGCCTTATTTTTCCCTCACTTGTCCACTTTCTGTTGTGAGAGTACACCAAAAATACCACTTTGAAGTATTTTTACTTTTTAATGCAATAGTATTCAAATATTTCTACTTTTACTTTTTAGTTGAACTGTGATATTTAACAACCATTTACTCACTTTTGTGGCTTATATTTGTCTTCCCTGTTCTTAGCTACAAAGTGAGCCCTGTTGATCTGACTGACCTGCACGTGATCCGGTACGAGTTGCACAGGGACCTAATGCCCCTGGTTCTATCAAACACCCAGTACACTATTGAGAAAGGGCAAGAGATCGTTCATGAGTACGACCTGCCAAAGATCCAGCAGCAGATTCTGTCACGCTTCATTCTGGGGAAACCGCTCATCACACTAGATGTGAGCAAGTAAACAACAACTAGTTCAGCTGAGTTGTCCTTAAGGTTCTAGTGCTTATTTTCAGCTTGTGTTGCGACAGGGTATTCCAACGCTGGTGAACAGACAGGACCGCAACTACGAGGTGATCCTGAAAGATGTCAAAGCCAAAGTACAGCAAGTAGGTTTCTTGACTTAATAAAAAAAGCAAAGATAAAACCTGCCAAAGCTGTTGGAGAAGTCTTAACACGCTTCAGTTAAAATCTCCTTTTGAAATTCTAAAATCTGTCCTGAAACTTTTAAATCCACCGTTCTGAATACATATAAGACAATATTGATTATTATTCAAGATAAATCAATGCTCTTGAACATGATTTTTTTATTCATTTATTCATGTGATATTAATAAATTTGTTAACATGGAAAAATTTAAAGAACAAATATGCGAAAGTATAATTCAACTTTTTTAAAAACAGAAATACAAATAACTGCTGGTTTAATGAATGTGTGCCACACCTGTTCTTAGTAAATTAAGAAAAAATACAAAAGTTTTAAAAACGAGTAGAACTCAAATTCTACCAACAACATGTGATATCTTTGCAGATTCTCTTCTTCATAGAGTTGGTTGGAGTCATTACTCTGCATCTTCTGGCTAGTGGAATGTGTTGAGAATTGCTTTCAAAAATTCCTTGATGATTTTAGTCTGGAATGGCCTTATAAATGTCCAAAAGTGTTTAGCATATGAGAATAATTCTACCAAAAAGACAATTGAACCAATATATAGCCAGTTGCTTTCAGCTCTAATAATTGTTTGATAAATGATTTTCAGACTTACCTGTGACATCAGTGTGAAACACTTTATGTCTCTGCCACAACAGGAGCCTCTTCAGACTCTCACCCTGTTCACTCTGGCTGGGGAATTGCACTCCTACAGTGAGGTTTGTGAGGCGTTGTCCACCCTGGAGGTGGCCCTTGGGTTTCTGTCTATGACTGGAGGAGACGCTCACATGCAGCTGTCCTACTACCTTGAGAAGGATCTGCAGATGGGTGACCAAATCGCTCCACACGTTCTCAAGGTCAGTCCATTGGGAGCAACTTGTCTCACTTCCATAGTTTAACAAGCTCGGTTTCTTAGTTGTTTTTTTACACTGTTTTGGGTATGTTTTATTTAGTATTAATACAAAGTTGAGAATAAATTAACCACTATAACATGGCCACACGATGGAAAAAGTTAGTGCTCTTGCTTTACAGCAAGAAGGTCAATGGTCACAGTGTAGCTAATGTAGAAAAAAAAAAAGATTTTCAATTTATTTAAACTCTGTCCAGTCACTCAAGGGTAAGTCAGAACAATTCAAGACAAACAGAAGGGAAAGGGGAGGTTTTTTGCCCTTGATCTAAAGCAAAAAAGTCAACAGTTTGATACCTACTGATAACTGATGGGACTTCTGTGTGGGGAGTTTCTCTGGGTACTCCTGTTTCCTCCAAACTGATCATACAGTAGCTGTTAATGTGAGTGTAAATGGACCGGAGTCCACCACTCCTTTGCCTGTGACTGCTGCAACTGCTGAAAGATTAATAAATAAATTAGATAACTTTTCTTTTAAAATACTTTTTGAGACATTAAACCTCTGTGAATCAGATAGAAGATGAATACAAAAAAATTCCCTGAAGACAATGAAAACTCTCACCTACAGGCCCTGAGCATGTGTTGTCTTCAACATTGTGTGGCGCTGTGGCAGCTGCTGTCCTCACTCAAATCAGAAAACATGCTGCGACTGAGGAGGGTAAGGCGTTACTAAAAACACTGACAGTAATAACAGGAGAAAAAGTGGACACGGCCTCGTATAGCCATTGTGTATATATTTTTTCCACAGGACCCATTTGTAGACGTTTCAGAAAAGTACAAGGAGCCTCTGAGTGAGGAGCAGAAAAGACTCCTGACTGGGTTCTTCTCCAAGAGCAGTGCTGATGCTTTCCTGCTGGAGATGCACGAGTTCCTGCTGCTGGTCCTCAAAAAGCCCAAGGCACTTGATACCTTCAAACCAAACTGGGGGTAAAAATTTGAATTTATTAAATTTGCCACAATAACCTTAGCGTCAGAGATGGTATGAAATACCTTTGTTAAATAAATACACTACAGTACACACATACTGCCACCTACTGTGTATGTTTACACTGGTAAATATTCTTAACTAGAAGCTGCATAATGCCTTGAGAAATAAAAAGAAAATAAAAAGGGCAGCATCCCTCCTTATGATCACAGCCTCATACTGTATGGCTTTGCCACCAAAGACATACTGTACACTATGGGGCTGTGATTGGAGTGGGTCATCTAATGGTTTGGTCCATAAAAAAGGATAATTGTAAAAAATAAGGATTTATTTTGTTTAATCAAAAGAAATAGTTGATTATTATTTAATTGGTAATTAATACATCACCCATCACTCCAGCCTCAGAAGACAAACTGAGTGTTTTGGTTTTCTTTTACTTGGATTTTCAAGAATAAAAAAAGTCAGAATTGTTGTCAGATCAAGGGGGAGGGATCCCCTTTTATTGTACATGTGTTGATTTGTTACATATTTGTAAGACTGATAAAAATCATGATTTTCCTCTTATAGCCTAAAAATCACACTGGTGTCCTACATCGAGAGCAAAGACATGAACGTTTCCCCTGATGTGGAGGAGCTCTTCCCTGAGGAGATCTGCCTGTCACATTATGTCGAAGCCTGGAAGTTCATTATTGCCTCCAAACAGGAGCGTGGTCAGAGACAGTGATGATGAGCTGTTGAAAGGATCTTCCTGTCCGGTTCCTGCGAATTTGAAATCACAAAAATCACTGATGTTTACAATCATGACAGGAAAGAAAGAAAAGAATATGTACCGCCTGCACTATTTTCTATTTGGAAAGGCTTACATAAGTTATTTTATGACATTCATTCCTTACTTGTTTGTTTTTTGGTTGTTTGTTTTTTTTTAGTAGTAGCCTGTTGAATTATTGCTAAGCAACAAAATGCCCAGGGATTCTCTACCTTTGCCTTCTGTACTTTGCCTTCTGTACCTTAAAATGTGAATGTCTTAAAGACACACACAAAAACATAGTTTTACTCAGGAACAATTTGATCCTAATAATTTTTCTTGAACAGTTTTGATTTTTCTACGGTCAATCTCTTAAAACATTCCTGATTGTTTTCTACACCTTAGAAATAATCATCACACAAGACATGTGTTACAATAAATCATGCATATAATATTTTTGTGACCAGCTGTTTGTTTTATTCAGTTTGAACGAAATGATCGAAGTTTGTGCAGTCTCCATTTAGAGTCTGGGCCATTTTCAAGTGAATTACTCATTTTTAAAAAGACGTTATGTTACGTTACCCTGAGGACTTCAGATCTTTTTAGGAAAACGCAGTCAGCTCGGGGTTCCATGACTGTCTGACCTCCTGTTGGAAAGCTGTGTGTTTCTAATGAGCCTGATGGAGTCAATAAGGACCAGACCGCTACTGGATAACGTCTTCTTAATTCAATTCCCTCCATACCAAAGCAGAATTCAACATAACAACGACACAGGTAAGCATGTGTCTTTGGAAGTAAACCATGTCGATGTCGACCTTCAAGGAATTTGCAGCAGAATGCTATTTGTCAGATTTAACCATCTTCTTTAAATCACAGGAAATGCAGCGTTGTCAAAGTGGGGTTGGGACCCCCAAAGAGGTCGCAAAAATGAAAGGTAAAAGAAAATGCTCTAATTTGCACTTTCATTTACTTTGTTCACTGAGAATAGCAGTTTTGTACAATGTTTTAATTAAAGTCTAGTATAGTATAAGTCTGTGTTCAAATCTCAGTATCCGACTAGAATTAAACTTGTTCTCTCTGCACGTTCGTTAGCATCAACAAAGTGATGCTTTGACTTTAGTGCCATCGGTGGCCTGAAAAAATGTTTTCTTTAAATAAGCCCTCACAGGTGCTGCTGTTATTGCATTATTATCAGGTTAGTGGATTTAAATGACCACGTCCTCTGAAATGTATTTGCCGTTGGGTCAGGGTGTAGGACCCACACTGTAGGCTGGAAGTGTCAGACCAGCATCCAGACTCTCAGGTTCCCGTGATGACCAAAAGAAAAAAACACTCTGAGCTAACACATCTGTGAATTATATTCGGCCATGATGTAGGTTGAAATGAAGAGCTCGGCTCCCATGTTGTTCTACTAAACACTTGGAGAGAAAATACAATTACCAGTTAAGTGGGACCAGCACGTGGGATTAGGGGAGAATTTTTACTGGGCAAGTTTCTCTGCAAAGCCAGGAACACTTATCGTACTTATTTCCAGAAAAGTTGGTACACGTCCTAAAAGTGCAACAAACTGTTACACACAGCTGTAGCTTGTTCATTTAATTTAACCTTTATCATTTAAAATAAAATAATGTCTCCAATAACTAAAACCCAGTTTGTAAGTGAAGAAAAATCACTGTAGTCACAGAAATCGACCACATGGTGATTTGGCAGTGTTTACACTGGATGCCCTTTTTGATGCAACCCAATCTGGGATATGTGGAGTAGATAGTCGTATCCATACACCATTCAAAACGTCTTTCTTTGTCATTTTACATGAATCATAAAGGTTCAAATTTGCTGCAAAATTTCTGTTTACTGCTTTTTTGGAGCATGTGCCAACTTTTCTGGACATCAGACTATTGGCCTACAGGAGCATTAACTGCAAATAAATAAAATAACCTTGGGTTTATGGTCTTTAGGGTTAGGTGAAAACATTGCTGAAAAGTGGAGTAAAAAAGGAAATTGTTTTTCAAATTCTAACAGAATAAAATCCAAAGCTTGACTAAAGGTTCAGTAGGAAAAGAGCTGAATCATACTTGGGCTCCTATTGGACAATTCACATGCAGTTCCCACTTCTGTAGCTTCACCGCCTGTTTTGGTAGTCTGGTTAAGGGACGCAATTATTATTTATTTTCTATTTGCCTCTCACCTAATCTACAAGAACATGGTACAGTTAATAGTTTAAAATCAGCTGCAAGCAACAAACTACAAATTGTGAAGTCCAATGAAATTGTATCCAAATATTGTCCTTTAAATTTCCCTGTGTACATTACTGCACCTTGATTTTCAATACCAAACCATCTGCTGAAGGCAAACAGCTCTGCCTTTGGGTTGTGTAACAATAATGGCACACATTGTGTCAGATTGTTATGGTAAGATGAGAGGTGTGTTTGAGGAGTCCAGAAATATGTCAGGCATTTCCCAAATAATAAGCAAAGGTGCGACGGGGTTGTGTTTCAGGTGGTGTCACCTTCAGGAACTGGATTGAAAGTCTTATAACTAAATTTATAATTAATAAAGGTCCTGCATCTGGAGGAGTTACGGTACATTTAGTATTTGCGTTACTGTTTTATTGCTGCTCTGTCTGCTTCACCTCGCTCTTGTGGTGGGTTTTATTCCTGTCTCGTTTACAGTCTTTCACTTCTCTGTCTCCCCCCGTCTCCTCCATCTCATCTCGATGTTCTTTGGTGTCTGTCGGTCTTTGTCAGCAAACAGATAATGACTGTGGAAGAGGTTTTGTTTGCTGTGGGTACTAAGAGATTACAGTGATAATACCTGGTGCCAGTGTTGTAACAAGTCGGTGAATCCTTCCACAGTGTATGGAGGTGCTGACAGTTATCCTGAACAGGATGAGAAAACCTGGATTATAGTTTGCTTTTCTCCACCCAGCGATGAGAGACAAAATAGAAGCTGAAATTCATAATGACAGGAGTGTGAAGAACAGGGCTCCT